ATATTGCTTTGGATTTTCTTTTAATGATTGATTTTAAGAGATGTTCATATATTTTGTATTGTAATGCTTAATTAGTATATATAATCTCTCTAAGTATCCGTTTTCTCTCCATTTCTCTCCCTTTTCCCAGTGTTTTCAGAACTGGGGATTGAATTCAGGAAGCCCTAAGCTACACCTACAAACATTTTTGTGATAAAGTCTCATTGAATTGCCCATCCTGGCCTGAAACATATAAATCTTCTGCTCAGCCTCCCAAATGACTAGGATTATAGGTGTGCCCCATCACACCTGGTTTGAGTGTATTATCTTTTAACTTCATTAGAGTGACTTGTTTTATAGGAAATACTGATTTTTATTGTTCAAAAGTATATTTCATAATTATTTTTGTTTTGGTATAGGGCTTGAGAAATCATAAAATAATGTTTTCCTATTTTCTTCCAAAATTTTAAGTTTTCCTCATGTGTGTCATTATAAGATCTGATACTTCTGTATGATGTGAGATAGAGCCAGAATTTTCATCTGAGTCTATTTGAAAACCAGTTGCTCGGTCTGAGTTATTGTATAAGGCAACCTCCACCACCAAGCTGGAATGCTACTTCTGTTCTGTGGTCCGTATGATAATGGTTCTAAGCTTTGTGCTTTATTGTTCTGGTTGAACTCTGACCTCACGTATTTCAGAGCCAAGACTATCTTCTGTTGGGGAAATGAAACAACCATGCCTCCCAAAGCCCCACTGTATTCCTTATCCACGTGGTCAGCAGAGAAGGCACATGGTGAGAGACATGGCACAATTTAGGGCTCAGTGGTGCTGTCCTTACCCTCCAATTAAAAGTACCTTCCTGCTCAGGTACTTTATAGGGACTCTAGTTAGTCCAGGTAGCCAGAACTAGTAGTCCTGTGTGTATGAAGCCTCATCATGAGTGTGGCCAGGGGAAAGTGGGTGGTCAGAGGGTGGAGGAAGCTTCAGAAATGGCCTCTCCTCCATCTCTTTCTGTTTGCCTCTTGCAGTAGATGGACTGTGACCATTAGATATTACTTTTTTATTTTGTTTGTTTATACAGTGTGTTCTCTAAACTCCAAAATGTCCTGTAAAACATAACATAGAATACCTTTAGACACTCACGTGAATGAGTTTGTTAATAAAGTAGGACAATATGAAGAATGCAGATAGATGGAATATAAAGATGAGAAATGACCTTGATTAAAGAGGGAAGCTTTTAAAGCCTGGGGTAAAATAAAATGCATCAGTTTTTCATGTTCAGTAAACATTCCATTGTTTCTTTTATTTAATCTTCATATCTGAGTTAATTATACTATTCTTCTATTTTACTGTGCTTACATTGCCTTAGGATAAATGTCACTTCCCATTCCTACCATTAGTATATTTAATAAAAAAATCATCTTTTTGAAGATACATAAAAAAATCTTCCTGTATTGATTATATAATTCAGTGAGTTCTACAGTATACACAAGACGCAGAATAATTCCATCACCCTGGACAGTCCTTCTGTGTAGTATTTCTGTCCCAATCTCTCAGCCCTTTGGCTTCAGGTAGCCAGTGATCTGCTCTGTACTATGATAGCTTAGTTTTTCTATTTCTAGAATTTTCTGTAAGTGCAATTTATGTGGTCTGCAGTGTTTCCTCTAGCTTATTTTCCTTCATGTGTTTTTGTGATTCATCTGTGTCCCTACATGTATCAACAGAGTCCTTTTTATCATTGCATAGTATTTCATTATATGGATATATTATAGTTCATCTATCCTTTCAGCTGTGGATCAGCATATTGGTTACTTCCTATTTGTAAAAAAAAATCCGGAATGGCCTTATTTATAAGATATCATATGCCAGAACATGCTGCTTTGAGCTCTGTGGTGTTTTAAGCAATCTCAGTGAGCATGAACTTAATGCAATGTTTATAAGCAAGTCATGTTTTGTAGTCAACTCTGCTTTTACTAGCTGCTACTGCTATTAGTTGTCTGACAATGTTGCTTGAGTCATTTCATTGTAATGTTTTCATATGTGCTGAACAAGGAGGGGTAGAGGCATGGTCCTTCAGAGCTTTGCAAGTAGATTTCCAAGGGTTAGTTCTTTTATGACTATAACCTGAACAGATAAAACCTGAGGCAGGTGGGGGCAGGAGAGAATGTTCAAATTGCAGGATGGAAGTTGCCTGAACAGCTGGGCAAAATTCCCTCCAAAAACATCATATGGAAAACAAACCTAATAACCTACATTTCCAGGAGATGCCTGAGACCAGTTTCTCAGTAAATCTTTTCATTCTGCTCCTTTCTGATCATGATCTTCCCAATCTGCTTGTTGTCCTTCTGTGACTTAACACTGGGCACATTTGTGGTGCTGATGGATGGAGGAAGGAAATTTCTCTGCCTTATTCACTTCCTATGAGACCAAATACTATTGCAAGTCCAGATTTTCCAGTGTACTACTTTTTGAGGAGGTCTCTTCTGGAATTCCTCTTCTTCCCATTTTCCACAGTGGCCCCCTCAGACTCTTCCCTCCTCGTTTATGTTCTGCCACAATGTTAGACCTGGGTTCCCCAAAGGACTCCCAACCCAAGTTAAAGAAAACTAGAGCTATCATCAATGTGCATTTGATTTATTTTTGTGCTCTGCTGAAACATGGGACATTTGGTGGTAGAAGTTTCATCTTAAATACAGGGGAGCATTTTGTTTGTGTTAACTGCAAGGCTAAAACATAAGAAGGTTACTAAGCTTTGTGTGTTTCACCTGGTAGTGTGAGTTATCAGTTGTTTAGCTATTGTCTTTGTGAGTTAATTATATAATAAAAGTATGCCTCAAACATTTGGGAGACTAAATGTGTCATATTTCATAATGAGCAGAAACCATGTGATACATTGTAAGGGGAATTCTCATGTCTTTGGATAATAGCAAAATATAAGAGAAATGAATTTGACTCAGGAATTTTATTCTAACAAACCTAGTCAACATAGAAATCTTCTGATTAAATACTTGTTCGATTGAAGTATAAACAGACATGAGGAGAAAAATATTTTGATTATTTTGTGTTTACATTTATATATAAACAAATATGAAGTAAACATTTTATTTAAACACATAGCTAATCTAAATGATATATAGTTCATGACTTTATAAATTGGAAAGATCTATAAAATCAATACAGCAACATGATGAAACCCTTATAAATGCCTATAAACTTAGAACACTGTAAGAAATGAACTCAAAAGAAATCGTTATCCAGTTTCAGAAATACATTATAAAATTAAAATAAACTAAAATATTCATGAATTAGCTAGGCTTAGTGGCACACTCAGGAAACTGAGGCAGAATGTTAAAATTTAGGCTAACCTGGAAAATTTCACAAGATTCTGCTTCAAAATAAAAGTATACAAAAAAAAATAAAGGACTGTAATATAGCTCAGTTTGGAGCACTAGCTTAACATGCATGAGACCCTGGGTTCTATCCCCAGTATAGCAAAATATTTAGGAATATCCTCTAGCAAAAGAGATGAATTACTTTGTAAATATTATTTCAGCAAGTTTGAAGAATTATGCCACATAAAAATGACTATTATACTACAATAATCTAGTAAAAAGTATGTTAAATGTAAAGTAAAAGTAAAATGTTTAGTCAAATGAAAAAAATCAAAGTACAAAACTACATGAAGTTTGATGAAATATGGAAAAGATTTATAAAAACTTAGTCCTTATGTAGAAAAGCAGATACAGTTCTTTATCATCTCATTTTGAAATTTTTAAGGAAATTTTTGAATTTAAAAAAATATACATTTTTGTAGAATAAAGCTTTGAATACAGTGCTCTGTTTATGGTAGGCAAGAATTCTATTACTGAACTACATTATACCTATACCACCTTTTTCTTTTCTTTGTTTTTTTTTTTTTATTTTAGAGTATAATAATTTCCATGGGCTAGTTTTCAACATTTGATTCTCTTGTTTCAGTATCATGAGTAACTGGCATTACAGCTGTTAACCACCATGTCTGGATAATCTTTCTCTCTAGCAAGGACACAGTGGGTATCAAAGATTCCCAGTTTGGGCGTTCTTGGACTGTACTGTGGTTCCTCTGCTGGACAAATATGGAAATGCACCAAACATCTTTAATAGTCCTACTTCCAGAGGATTTCCTTTTGAGTCTCCATTCTCTGTTCTCTCCAAGCCCTATATCTTGATGGTGCCTTGTGTGTCTTATTTGTAGTCTAGAGCTATAGTTTATGGTCTCTAACAAGGAAAGCTCCTTATACTTGCAAACTTCACTTTGAGTTTTATTTTTCCCTCTCTCTTGTTCTCCGTGCATCCTGGAGTTAGACTAGGCCATCTGCATTCAGTTGGAAGGGCTCTGATTGGTTGGTGGAGATATAGGCTAAGAGACAGTTGTGGGTTGGTGAAAGGTTACCTACATAAAGCGAAACCGACCAGAAACTCAAGAGAGGGGACTGGAATTTAATGAATTTGTGCATGGTAAAGCTTCAGAAAAGGGTGTGTCCTTGATCCTATACCATTAAAGGTAAGTTTCCTCAGGCAGTTACAGTTTCTCCCTATGATAGGTTCTCTCTTTTGAATAGACAGTTTAGCAGCAATTCTAAAATAAATATTGAATTACGGCCTGGAGTACGGAGCTACCCTTACAGTTCCCCCAGGAAAATCCTGTGCTCAACAAGATGGGCCATAAGGCAAGTCCCAGCCCCTTTCAGCTGCCACTTTATCCCCTCCTTCCATACTCCTTCATGGAAACTACAGAGGCCATCACAACAGAATGCTAGTACCAATAGAATGACTGAACTGCTCACCATCCTTTAACTACTTAAAATCAAAAACTGTCATCTTAGGATGCCAAAAAGGAGAAATTAAACCAATAGTGTATAGGAAGAGAATATAGTGAATGAAATACTGTATTTACAACACTATGACAGATCTAAAGAGAGCAGCAAGAAATCCGAGAAAGCTCAAGATCAGCAGAGGTGACAATTCAACCTCGACTTACTCATGAAGGTTTAGTTTCTTCTGTCCTCTACAATGGGAGTTTGATACCAACTTTCCCTCAGGAGGTGGCCCTGGAGGACGATGGTGCTGGAAAGAGAGTTTCTCATTCACTTTCAATTTGTCTTTTATGTTTGCATCATAGCAAGATGCAACTCCTGGCAGCAACATTTGGCAGAAACAGCTTCAGCCGCATAGCATTCCACAGACATACTAACACCAGTGGCCCAGTATCGGAGCCCACAGTCAGTTCTCAGAAAGACAAACTCCTGATTTATAATGTCTGCCAATTTCTTCGCACCATTACTCCTGCCATAGTAGATTTTATCTACCAGTGTGACTAACATGGAATTGGGAAGGAATGCACAGCAGCTCACTGTGGAGATGTGAGGTGTAAGCAACAACGATAATAATGAAATATTAGGAATTTTGTGTATTTGTAAACGTTTTTTTCTTATTTATGCTATTTATAAGTTTATATAATTTAATTTTAAATACTTTCTGAGCTTAACAATTCAATTGGTTCATAAAATGCCTTAAAATTTATCAGTTGGCTTTCAAGCCACTACGAATCAGCTCCTGCAAATCACTGTGTTCCAGCAACCATGAACTCCACAGTCACTTAACACAGACAATACACTTCTATCCTGTAAGGTAGGGATACCATTATTATACCTCAGGTTGCAGCTAAAAAAACTAAATCCCTGGGGCTTGAAGCAGTCAAATGTCAATGTCCAGGAAGTGATAGATCTTTCAACCTCTAAGATCTGGGCAATTTCTGTACCCCTGCATCCTGACAGTCGGATAGCAGGTTCTCCTTCTGAGCTCTGACTTCTGTTACTAAATAGGCATCTTTTTGGTATTTGGTCTCCCAATTTGGCCTCCCTCCTGCAGGAACATGACCAGATCGACCACAATGAAGAACAATACTATAGTTTGAAAGTGTCCCCCAAATTTCATGTGTTAGAAACTTTGCAAAGTGTTAAGAGGAGGACCTTTAAGGGGTGATTAGAACATGAAACGTTTGCCCTCATGAATGGGTTAATGATATCACAGTAGCAGGTTTGTTATTAAGAGAATGGATTTGGATTAAAAGTGAATTCAGTCCCTTCTGTTCTCTGGCCCTTCTCTGCTCTCTTTGTCATGGTGTGAATGCAGTAAGGTCCACACCAGATGCCAGTGCCATGCTCTTGGGCATCCCAACCTCTATAACTGAGAGATAAATTTCTGTTGTTTATAAATTGCCTAGTCTCAAGTATTGTATTGCACTCCCACATACAGACAGTGTGAAGCCAATTATCTTCTGAAGCATAACACTAAACAAAGTTTCTAGGTCAAACCATTTCTGGGGAGGATAAAACATTTTGTTCACTTTGGTAGCTCTTTAACAAAGTAAATGATAAGGTAGAGGTTGCAGAGGACCAAATATAGAAGCATGTGTAGTTGTCACCTTTGGTTCTCTTTGAACATGAGGGGATCCTCTGCTGCTCATCAGCTTGATAACCTGCCCCTCTCCAGGTACAAGTACCACCATCAATGCTGGGATCCTTCCCTTGGCTCTTCTGTCCTCCAACCCAAGGCTTCTCTGTTCATGGCACTTACTAAACAACCTTGATATTGATTTTACTACTTAGAAATGTACAACATAGCCTTGAATCTCTACAATTTTGGATTTTTACTTCATGTTTAATGTGTGAGCTGAGCGCATCCACAACTATGCAAAGTGAAATTTACTGGAGGCCTAAATTTGCTGCTAAGAGCATCACCTTGTTACATGGCACTATGTTATTTTATTCTCTTGAAAGAAATACTACAGAGGCACCTTGGGCTGAGAAATAAAAAGAATCAGAGGAACAATAAATAGTACTGTATGTGGTAAATGGCTGCATTCATATTTTAGTTAGTTTTTGGTTTGTTTTTTGCAGTGTTGGAAATTAAACACAGGGCCTTACAGTGAACTACATTTCCAGTCCTTTTTCAAAAAATTTGAGGCAAGATCATGCTATGTTGCCCAGGTCAGCCTCGAATTTTTGACATTTCCCTAATACCTGGGATTACAGGTGTGTACCATAACAGCCAATTCAGCATGATGCCCTATTTTTTTAAATGATTCCTAAATGTGGGAATTCTGGCTTAAGAGCTTAGCAGATTATATCATCTCATTAGATATTGCTACACTCCTCTCCATAGGAATGCTGCCAGCAACATAGGAGGATTCTGTCTGTTCTACACAATATGTCACAAAGTCTACAAATTTAGAATTTTTGTCCAAGTTGGAATTTTTGCTCAAATTGAAGCTTGAGAAATTGTGTTCCAATATTCTCTATATTTCTATAATGAGCAAGGCTGAGATCATGCTTAACTTCACTTTTTGTGTACTGTCCTTTCTTTTGTCTATTTTTCTATTTTTTTTTGTCTTTTCTCAGTAATATATAGAAATTCTGTATCTATATATATGTGATATAAGCCTCCACCAATGATGTTACTTTGAACTTTTTTCTCAGTTTGTCAATTGTGATGCTTTTTGCTATGAAAACTAAAGTTACTAATATTTTCTGTTGATATGTCTAGATTTTCGATTAGACATTAAGACTAAAAAAAAGACTAAATAACAAAAGGAATATATGACCAACGTACTCCACATTTTAAAGATACTGGTAGCTCCCAAACGATCCATAAATTTAATGTAATCATAATCATATTCCCAACAAGATTTATTATAAGAATTGACAAAAGGGCCCATATTTAGTATGGAAATCTAAAGGACCAAGAATTCTTGAAGAAACACAGGTTCCAAGAAAAACTAAAACTCATATAGTGACAATAAACAGTCTGGCATTGGTGCAAAAACGGACAAACCAACCAACCGATAGACAGGCCCACACAAATGCAGACATACAAACCAATGGACAGGCCTAAAGTTGATCTCTGGTTCCTAAAAAAAGTGGCATGATAAAACAGTGGAGAAAGGACTTTCATAAATAAACAGTACTCAAACAACTATATACTCTTTTAAAAGAAAAAAGGAAAAAAAATTGATCCGTTTCATAAGTACATATATAATAATCGCATCAGACATTAATGTGAAGCCCAGCTTCTAAAAGTATATAGTAGGAATTTACCTTTAAGCAAAGAAAAGAATAGTATTTTCTCTGAAGTTCTGGGAGTTGATCTCTAGGTCCTTGGAATGTGCTACCTAGTAAGACTGCTTTTATTAATTTGGAGTCATTGGTCCCAGATAGTCAATAATATAATAATGGGAATTTTAGGTCACAGGTATCTGCTCAACCTCTAGATGGGCTAGAAACTTAAAGGCCAGCCATGTGAGTAACCAGCCATAGAACTGTAACAAAAATTCCAGCCACTAATGTACCAGTGAGCTTTCTTGATTGACAGTGACTCTCCATGTGTCATCATGCATGAATGCTGGGAAGTGGCAGAGTTCATAGTACCTCTTGAAGAGGAACTTGGAAGTTCACATTGGGAACTTCCTGCAGTGTGCCTGAATTGCTTTCCTAGGACTCCTGTAACAAAAACAAAATGCCAAAAGCTGGAGTGGCTTAAAGTTACATATTTATTGTCTTTCAGTTCTGGAGGTGAGAAACCTGAGTCTAGGAATCAGCAAAACTGTGCTTGCCCTGAACCCTGGTGGGACATTCTTCCTTGGTCTTCCTAGCGCCTAGCAGTTTGCTGGCAACCTGTGAAACTCCTTGGCTTGCAGCAGCATGACTATGACCTTTATCCTTGTCACCCCACAACATGAGTCTCTGTGTGTCTCTATCTTTACATGGCCATCCTCTTTACATGGACACCAGTTCCTCTTGTAAGTTTTCTGCCCATTCTACTCCACTTTGACCTTATAGTGACTTTTGCAACCACCTTATCTCCAAATAAGGCCAATTTCTGAGATATCAAGAGTTAGAAATTAAACATGTCTTCTTAAGATGAGAGAACAGGTACCAGGTCAGTACATAACACTTCCCTGTGTGCTTTTTTATTGCTGCCTTAATCTGTGTCCTTTCAGGGCAATAAATTAATAGTGAATAATGTATATTTCTGACAAATTATTGAACTGCAGGGTAGTTGGGACACCTACCTCCAGCGACTCAAAAGTGGTGTTGAAGCACAGATAGTCTTCAGAACTATGCTTGCTCCCTTACTTCGCAAGAATATGAAACAGGATCTCAGCACAGATTTTAAGACATGAAAAATCTTTAACATAAAAGGGCAGTGTGATTAACTTACAATATATTATCAAAAATATTTTTAGAAGATTGAAAAGGTCACAGATATCTGCAACGTAAAATATGCTGGGCAATGGGCTTGTGCCAGAATTAAAAAGAGAAAACCAAACAATTATTTCACGCCAGCAAGCAAAACAACCTGTCATGAGCAGAATTACACTCCCAGCCCCACATACTGAAACTGTAACCCCCAAGTGGATTTAAGAGACTTTAGAAAGGCCAGTAAGGTTAAATGAGGTCATAATAGTGGGGCCCTAGTCTGATAGATCTGTTGTCCTTATAATGGGAGGAAGGGACATGAGGTCACTCTCCCCAGGTATGAATAAGGTTGACATGAGGATAAGATGACCATCTGCAGGCCAGGTAGGAAGCTCTCAACAAAGCTTGCACATCCACCTGAGATTTCTTACCCCCAGAACTGTAGGAATTAATCACTTTTATTTAAACTACCCAGTCTGGGGAGTTTAATTATAACAGTCCACACATACTAACACACAATCCAATTTTTTTAATAAAGTGAGGAAGCAAAATAAAACAGTGACCTACCACTGTGCATCTGCCAAATAGACCCATTAAAAAGACTAAGAGCTGGCTTGGTTGGTGCAGGTCTGCAACCCCAGCAAAAGAGGAGACTGAGGCAGGTGGAAGGTGGGTTCAAAGCCAGCCTGGGCAACACAACAGGAGCCTATTTCATACTCGCATAACTTGTAAAAGAAAATTCTACTTTAAAAATAAAAATACAAAATAAAATATAAAAAGCCAACCTTAATTGGGAAGGACCTGGTTCTACAAGAACTTGGTAAGTTTTGTTCAATAATTTATGAGGTTCATCTATACTGCATCTTCTAACTGGGGTTTCATTTTTCAATCATACTGCTTTCAGTTTATTATTTGATCAGATGATTGTATTCAGAAGTATACAAACAACAGATATGTGTGCACATGTAACCAAGACATATGCACAAGAATGTTCACATTATTTGTAATAACTAGCAAGAACTCAAGACATCCATCAGTGGAGGACTAGATAACTACATCATGGTACATTCATAAAATATTAAGATGAATTAAATTTAACTCACTATAAATGAATTAAAGTTATATACAGCACTATGAATTTGTTCAAATCTAAGGTTCTATAAGTATGTATTGTTTTATTTCCTTATAAGTTTCAAAAACAGATACATTAGTGCTGGAAATTAGAATAGTGGTTATATTTAGGAAAAATGAAAAAAATTGCTGACAGAAAACAAGAGTGAGGAAGCTGTGCAGGTTGGTAGATAGCAGATATTCTAGTTTTTGACTAGTTAATCACTGTGTTCACTTATTGACACGTTAGTTTTCGGATTTTTATGTATTATGGTTTTCAATTTCAAAAAAACCACTTAACGAATGTTGGAGTCTTTTGTGGTTTCTTTCTTTCTTTCCTGGCTTTTAAGTATCCAGGACAGGGACAAGTCATTCAGGTGTGAAAATAGAATTATAACTGCAAATGCTGAAAAGGGTGTGGGGGAACCACTCAAGACTGCTTCAAAACTCAGGGCCTCTAAAGACCTCTGAAGACGTGACCCCGCATAGTGGGATGCTTAACACAGGCAAACACACATGTGCTGTTAGGGGCTATATAAGATTGCAAGTCAGATAACCTGTATAGGAATTATACAATAAAGAGGCAGGTTGCTCTTGCCCTCCTCTTGCAAGCGTGAGCTCTTCAACCTAGAGACCTCGCCCTGTGAATAAATACTCCTTGCTCCCCTGCTCCCAGCGAACCAGACATGCTGTAAAAGCGGTCGTGTTTAAGGGTTGGAGAAGCCTCCAGAATTGAAAAACCAATAGATGAAATATTGTCCAGTTCCTTCCACACTAAGTTTCTGAAGCACCCAATCAAGCCACTTGCTTCTATAAACAGAAACCTAAGGGATCTCTGGCTTTAAGGCCTAATACCTCTTTACAGCTAAGGTCTCAAGTCCGGACCCGGCTCCCAGCCATGGTTAGGGCGCCGCCTTTTGCGACCGACCAGTGTTGTCAGCTGTAGGGATGTTAACAGCTGGAGCCCGGTAACTGGCTAACGTTCCGGAACTGTTGCGGTGGCGAACTAGCACTCCAGAGGGCTAATCAGCCATCCTCATCTATGGAGGTGGGGCTCTACTACCCCCACCCGCTTCAGGGTTTTAGGTCAACCCAAAAATCAAGCTACCTTAGCACAATCAACAACGCAAAGCGTTTTCACCATAAATTTGCTCATACAAGATGCACGTGGTACATGATCTAGCCCAAGCCCCGTTTGCCCGTTAAGCCACTTTAGGACCTGGCAGGTGATTCTAACACGCAGAACTAAGCCTTGAAAAGGCTAAGCTCAGATGATGGGTTAAGACAAACGAAGTTACACCCAGCTGCTCAACCCCGCGTAACTGCCAGCGAGTGCAAAGCTCTTTTCCTGAACTACGTAATGGTGGCTCTTAAAAGAGCCGTTGGGTTACCGGAAGGATCTTCCAACTGGACTGCTCACTTCTTCTTTGGTGCTGCCTTCTTGGGCTTTGCAGACTTAGGCTTAGTCACCTTGGTCTTAGGTGCTTTGGGCTTCACAGCCTTGGCCTTCGCGGGGCTTTTAGCTACCTTCTTGGGCTTCACGACTTTAGGCTTTTTAGGGCTCTTGGAAGACTTCTTTGCCAGCGCAGGCTTCTTAGCCTTTTTGGGAGTCTTCACTGCTCTCTTTGCAGCAGCCGCCGGAGCCTTCTTTGGCTTCTTGGGAGCGCTCGCTGCCTTGGCCTTAGCCGCGACTTTCGCGGTGCTGGGCTTGGCCTCCACGGAGGCCTTCTTGTTGAGCTTGAAGGAGCCAGAGGCACCGGTGCCCTTGGTCTGCACTAAAGTGCCCTTGCTCACCAGGCTCTTTAGACCCAGCTTGATACGACTGTTGTTTTTCTCCACGTCGTAGCCGGCGGCCGCCAGCGCCTTCTTGAGGGATGCTAGCGACACCCCACTGCGCTCTTTGGAAGAGGACACGGCCTGCACGATAAGCTCGGACACAGAAGGGCCCGCGGGTTTTTTCTTAGTGGCTGCCAAAGCTTTAGAAGGTTTCTTCGCTTTCTTAGCAGCCACCGGCTTCTCGGGAGCTGTCGAGGCCGGCTGTGCGGCCGGTGCAGTCTCGGACATAGCTGTTGTAAAAGAGCAGATACAAAAGGAGGACCCACTGATCAGGAGCGCGCGGAAGGCGCTGCGACGGCTATTTATAGAGCAGGGCTGCGCGGTGATTGGTGCGCGCTGGCACCGCCCCCAAACCGCGGCGCTCCCTGCGCTGCCGCCATTCCTGGATTTTCCAGAAGGGCTCGGGTCTCCTAGCTCTCTACTCCCCTAAACTGGCCCACTCGCCTTGCAAAAGTAAAAATTCAGGCAACGCGAAGTTGGATTATTCCACCTGCTAGTTTTAGAAAGTATTGTTTCCTGCTTAAAAACCCGCTCAGGGTTAAAGGGGGAGCATCAATCAGGCGGGCAGTCGCATCCAAGGAATTTAGGTTGAAGCTTCTAGAAGATGCCTCGGCAGGAGTTGTTCGCGTCTAGTTTTTCAGGAATAAAAAAGTGCTTCTTAAATAGCGTGGAGGCAGCAAGAGCAGCACGGGTATAGGCCTTGTGCTCATATAAGACCGGCTCAGGCATGCGATTCCAAAGTGGTGTCTGTTGCCCGCCTTCTGTGTTTGGGACAAAGGAGAACGAACCACAACACTGCACAATTCAGTAATCAATCTCAGCACGAACTATCAACACTGATACATTTTCTGCAATCCTCATTCTACTCAGACTCAGGGCTTACTACTGCCTGTATAAGCATTAAAGGATAGGTAGATGGGCCGGTTCTGTGAGAGGCATGGTCCCAAGAATTTAAATCCCTTTTGTGTTAAAGCCAGGGGGTAAGATTTTAGAACATTCTTCCTTTAACTTGTGCTGAACAGCATCAGCAAGCTAAAAATAATTTCACACTGCAGACCAATGGCTGTGAACAGAAGAATAAAATGTTTTTAAATTCTTAACCTCTGCCACAGCTGCGTGTAGGTAATTGCCTAGTGCATAGGAGACCAAGGCAATGACTTTTCCCATGCATATGGATTCTCAAAGTCCGCGCCGGCCTAGTAACACAATAAATAGTCCTAGTATTTTACGCATTTATTCATTTTATTGAAAAACTATCACTTCAAATGTAGCATTTCCTGTAATGTTTAACAAAGCGAGTGAAAACAAAACCGCGCATCTTTGTTTGAAAGATTACAAAATGACATTGACAAGATTGTCAGGATTTTAGATAAATCCTTTTGAAACAAATTTTTCTCACAGTAACAGCATCTTATCAAATGAAGCTTTCGGTACGGAAATAAAATTATTTGACGCCTGGTCTCTCTTGGTATTTAGTGTGTCCTCCTTTGTTTCCATTGTTAAACCTTGGCTCCCCCTCCCCCACAAAAAAAAAAAAAAACACAATGGAAAGACTTTACGCAAATGAAGGATGCCAGAACTGCTTTCTCAAAGGACACTTGGGAAAATGGAATAAACCAATCATAACGTTAAATTAGGTATACTTTTGGTTAGCACTGAGGAATTCTCAACATTTCAATGTTTGACAGCTATCGAGTCTGCTCTTCCCCAAACTGAATCACGCACTTTGCTAGCTGGTCTAACCGGAACAGGGAGAATGGCGCGCTTCTGTGACCCGCCACAAAGCGGAAACCAGGCAGACACCGCAGTTTTGCACTTAGAGGAATATGCACTAGGCTTTAGGTTGAAAAAAAGCTTTCAAAAGGCCCCAAGTCTACAGAGGAACATGAACATTTAAGGGAAAGATTTTTACTACAGAAAATATTTCTGTGAGCTGTGATGTAAGTAAGCACGATGTTTTCCAGGGTTCCCTAACAGTCTTTGCTCAACATAACACTAAAGGAATACAAGTTTTGAGAAAGGTGTCAGAAACTAAACCTGTATCAGTCGAATGAGGAGCATAAATATGGTGTGTCCAGAGTACATAGCCACTATTCATTCATTGCCATCTTCCCACAGGCATAATTGATTACAATTACGATGGAAATCAATGTCTAATTTTATAAAAGGCAAGCCAGACGTGCTTTAGGTTTCTAAAGACGAAATACAGAATGGAGAAGGGACAAACTTGAAAAGAACGGGGGATTGAAAATAGTAACCAATGAAACTGCACGTTGGTAGGACGTTTTAAAATAGACCAATCAGAGTCTGTATCGTCATAAGGAGGCAGTGTTATCATCCAGTCACTACGCCGTACATACTATAAATATGAGCGACGCTTCTTTAGAGGGTAGCTCTTAAAGAGTCCTAAGTTACTGTGGGGTGTAGTAATGGCTCGCACAAAGCAGACGGCACGTAAGTCGACTGGGGGCAAGGCTCCGCGCAAGCAACTGGCCACCAAAGCCGCTCGTAAGAGCGCGCCGGCCACCGGCGGCGTGAAGAAGCCACATCGCTATCGGCCCGGCACTGTGGCGCTGCGCGAAATCCGGCGCTACCAGAAATCCACCGAGTTGTTGATCCGTAAACTGCCTTTCCAGCGGCTGGTTCGCGAGATCGCGCAGGACTTCAAGACAGATCTGCGCTTCCAGAGCTCGGCTGTCATGGCCCTGCAGGAAGCCTGTGAAGCCTACCTGGTGGGCCTGTTCGAGGACACTAACCTATGTGCTATCCACGCTAAGCGGGTTACCATTATGCCCAAGGACATCCAGTTGGCACGTCGCATCCGCGGGGAGAGGGCTTAATCGTATTCCCTGACGGTGTTAATCAAAGGCTCTTTTCAGAGCCACCCAAATTTTCAAGTAAAATGGCTGTAAATTGCACTAGGTGGGTCATATTTTTATTTTACCATGAAAAACAATACATAACCCCCAACAACATGACGGGAATTTTCCCCCCTGAAACAGGTTATTGAACTGGAAGCTTGAGTTAGATTGGGGCGCGAGTCTCAAAAATTGTAACGATATAAAAGTCTGGCGTGGTTTAAAATGTAGGACAACCTACAAAATCTGGCTTCTAAAAAGCTATTCAGTTTGTTTGATAGAAGTATTTCCTCGATCAAGATCGAGTTGTGATTGTGAAAGTGTTGAAAGTGCTTTTGGAATCATTAGCTTACATTTAAAATACTGTAAATCTAGTTCACTTCCAAGCTTTAATAATTGACAACCTCCCAACTGGCCTGCCCGGCCTGCGCTTTTCACTTCCTGGGTTTTGGAAGCGGGATTGAGGGCGGGGACGAGGGCGGGGACTGCTAGCGTCACGTTTCCCGCCTGCGCACTTTACATCCGCAGCTGCAGAAGCTGGGCGGGGCTAGGAGCGCAGATATATAAGGACTGGCTCACTTTCACATTCTCGCTTGTTCTTTGTTCTCCGAAGAAGTCATGTCTGGACGTGGCAAAGGAGGGAAGGGTCTTGGGAAAGGTGGCGCTAAGCGCCACCGCAAGGTGCTGCGCGACAACATCCAGGGCATCACCAAGCCCGCCATCCGCCGCTTGGCCCGCCGCGGCGGCGTCAAACGCATCTCCGGCCTCATCTATGAGGAAACGCGCGGCGTGCTCAAGGTCTTCCTGGAGAATGTGATCCGCGACGCGGTCACCTACACGGAGCACGCCAAGCGCAAGACGGTCACCGCCATGGACGTGGTCTATGCGCTCAAGCGCCAGGGACGCACGCTCTACGGCTTTGGCGGCTGAGGTTTCTGACTGCCTCAGCTTACTTATTCTAAACAAAGGCCCTTTTCAGGGCCGCCCACCTGCTCAAAAAGACCTGTAGTACTATAGAGCCAAAGAGCTCCAGGCATTGTGAAATGTAGGTCCTGACTGTGCAGATGAGAGTAATACTTTTTACAGCTACCTTAGCCAAGTGAATATTTACCCAGCACATGCTCCCCTTATCTAAGAGTACAAAGATACTAAAACGTTAAAATGAAAACCTTTTAAAGACTGTCCCTTATCAATTTGGTGAACAAAGAAAGGCACTGGCGTAACAGCGAGCTCATTTCTCAGCCAATCAGAACCGATGACTTAATATCCCTAGAGACTAGTAACTACGAAGGGGGATGGGAGAATAATGGGCTATGTTGAGAATTAAGGAGTGAAATATGAAGAAAACTAAATTTCACTCAGTTATGTTCCAAAAACATTAACCAGCAGTACGATGATTTCTTTCAATGAAATGGAAACCAAATTCAGACTGCCAGAACAGCCGCCTGGATGGAAGGAAATGAAAACCTGGTTTAGTGAAAGGGGATGCCTGCTTCTCCCCATGTATGATCAGAGCCCTAAGGAATTCAGATACACACTTTTACTTCCCAGTGCAGTGGAAATTAGACAATATCCTAAAATTAGTTATGATGGTTGTACAATTAGAAAATACAAATTCATTGAATTGTTCACTTAAAGTGAGTGAATTTTATGTTGTGTAAACTATCTTAATACTGTATATAGAGATACATGCAGACAGGGAAGCAGATGATTAATAAGGAGAGGCTCTGTTAATGTGTGGGTGCTAGAAGTACTGTATAGACATTAGTCACTATAGCGCAAAATTCTAAAGGATCTAACAGTTATGTAATCAAGTTATATATATATATATATATATCAGGTTTCAGAACTCTGAGGCAAGAATGTAAACTTACTTGAAGGCTATTGGAGAAACATCTTACTCTTATCTGAAGAGATACTCAAATGCTTCTGGATTGTTTTTTGGAGGGGGAGGGGACCAGTCTTTATACAGTTCAGGCTGGCTTTGAGCTCTCTGTAGGGAAGGCTGGTCTCAAACTCATAAAAGATCCTCCTATCTCAGCCTGCTGGATGCCAAGATTACAGGTGTGTACCACCACGCCCTGCCTCTCATCTTTATAAGTGGCTGAGTTTAGCATCAGTATGCTTGCCTTTGGGAGGGTGTCTGTCCTTGGTTCTCCCATCTTGTTTTCCAGCTGGCAATGGTTATGTAAGATTTGTTAGGCAATGATGAAAGTACCCAATTTGGCTTAATGTAAAACTGACAGTGGAATTCAACAACTACATCCTAGATAATTTCAATAATTCTGGAGTCAGACAATCAGAAATGAGTCTGCCTGGGAAAACTTATGTTCTCTTTTTTGGCGTTCCTTTAAGAGATATTCAATGTCTCCTCCAATATACCAGTGAGCAAATGAGAATTACATGTGCTCATACCCCGAGTCAATGCAAAGAGACAGATACACAGCTTTCCTATTGGGGGAGACATGTATTTACAGCTGGCTTCTGTTATTCTGTACCTGATATTCCTACAGTGTATCAGATCAGTGCTGATAGCACTATAGTCATCTTAGTCTTATTGCCACCGTGGGTGGAAACTTCTGAGCCTTCTTCAATCCTTTTTGATTGATTTACAGTCCTTGCCCACCCCTCAAATCTAAAGCCAAATGCTCAGTTGTGGCCCCACTGCTGTAGGCCTTGGAGGCAGCCTTGGAGATTTGTTTAAAAGACCTTATGCGCATGCATTTATCAAACTTGCAAAGACTGTTTTAGACTGTTCTCTGTGTTACAAAAAACCAAATTCTCATATTCAACGAATAGTCTAGATGAGGAAGACAGAATCATAAACAAAATTTAAGAATGTATTCTAGATGAAATAGCACATATGTGTGCTACCTACAAAAATTAGCAAAACAAGGTATTATTTTACAAGTTAGGCCAAGGTGAGTCTGTTTAATGAGATGAATATTTGATCTGAGGCCTGAAAGAAATGAAGTACAAAGACAAGCGGATATTTGGTATAAAACATGTCCAGGAAAAAAAATGTATAAGAAATCTCTGACTCTGACGTTTTGTTCCACTCTAAAAATTGTGAAATCAGCAAATAATAAATAATGCACTAGAGAATGAGGTCAAAGAATAAACCAGGAGCCAGATCTGGTATGACTTTGGTTGGCTAGAACTTTCCAGTTTTTAGTAATCATTGGAACCACTATGAACCACTAGGACACAGGCACTGAGTGATCACCATGTTTTTGGGCTGTATTAACTGGTCGTTAGCTTATTATGAAGACAGTGAAAATCACTGGAAATATTCTGAAGAGAAGAGATGAGTATTTTTCACGAAGCCAGAAATATTCTTGCTGTTAGCTACCACAAAAACTAGGAGGGTGGCATCAAAGGAGAAGCAAAATGATTAGTTAGAAATCATTGGACTCGATCATACAAAAGGTGATGTGACTTCACCAAGAGAAATAGCAGCATAAGGACTGAAATGTAGATTTGGAGCACAGTCTACCAGGACTATTGGATGGAAGTTGTAAGCAAACTGGATAAACCAGGACTCAGGTTTCTGGCTGAGCTGCTGGAAGAATGAAATTCCATCAACTGAAATGGAGAATATTTAAGAAGCAAAACTTTGATTTACATGTTAAGCTATTTTGCACAAAACTGTCATATTCATTAGATATGAGCAGCTACATTAGATATACAACTGGATGTCTGGTCATTAACAAATGAGGTAAACAGTATTTTAAAAAAATATTTCTTGGTGAAGGTGTCATGCAGTGGAAAATTTATATAATCTATAATTAAGGATACTTTAAAAAATAAAAAGAACAAAAAAAGTAGCCTTTAGCATGAGAAATAGCTGCACTGCCACCATAGACCAGCCTAGCTGCAAACTGCGATGGAACTGCACTATAAATTTTCATAGAACACAGAAAAATAGAAAATGAAATTGGACGCCAGTGCCAAGACTGATGTTTCAACGCATTTCGTTAGAGTACTTGAAATAGCACAATTTATCTCCAGTATCCAATGGATTTTAAAATCCACAGCAAAGTATACTCAAATGAAAAGTTAAAAGACAGAAGCCCAAAGAAAACAAGGTACAGACGTCGCTTTATCTGTATATGGCGCTGGGACTTACCCTCCAGGTTACAGTAAGTGAACACAGCCCAGACCTCTCACTTCCCTCTTAATAACTGGACCTCATCTCTGGAGCCCCGCGGTTAAGTGAAAACGCGCTTAAAAGACCTAGCTCAAAACTTGCTCTGACAAAGGGTGACACACTCCCATCTTCTACTGTGTCAGTACTCTTTTTTGTGAGATAGTGGGCGGCCCTGAAAAGGGCCTTTTTTGGAATGCAAAAAGCGCAGCTTAGCCGCCAAAGCCGTAGAGCGTGCGTCCCTGGCGTTTTAGCGCGTAGACCACGTCCATGGCGGTGACCGTCTTGCGCTTGGCGTGCTCCGTGTAGGTGACCGCGTCTCGGATCACATTCTCCAGGAAGACTTTGAGCACGCCACGCGTTTCCTCGTAGATGAGGCCGGAGATGCGCTTGACGCCGCCGCGGCGGGCCAGGCGGCGGATGGCGGGCTTGGTAATGCCCTGAATGTTGTCGCGCAGCACCTTGCGGTGGCGCTTAGCGCCACCTTTCCCGAGACCCTTCCCTCCTTTGCCGCGTCCAGACATCTCTAAAACTTTGCTAGCGGTAGTAGCGAGCAATGAACTGGTGCACCGCAGGCTGGACAGATATAAGCTGTCATCGGACCTAATTGAGAACTACACAAGGAGGCGCTCTGGAGGCGCTGCCTCCATCCTCTTGGCTCCGCCCTTCTTTGGCCCAGGAACCTGAAGAAGCCTCTGCGAGCAAGCAGGGTAACTACATTGTTTTTAATTCCTGATTTTTCTTCCTTTGACTACACTGCTGTTTTAACTTGTCTTATTATTGACTAAGAATTTTGCTAAGTGATTCAATTTTAAATGACAAAACACTCGAGGAGTTAAAAATGTACCATTCTGTCTTATTGGTGACATAGACAGGTTAAAAGCATCATTAAAAAAACAGGTGTAAAAACATTGAAATTCTGATGTGAATGACATCCTCCTTATATTATGAAAAGAGAAGAGCAAGAAACATAAAAGGACAGAAATTGAGGCTGAGAGAATTCCTTGCAAATGATCTAACTTGCTAAACTATCCCTTCTTTGTCACAAAGCCACCTTACCTTGTCACATTTTGTTTGCTACTATTGATCCAATTCAATTGATCCCAATTCAGCCTTAAGTGAGAACTGCTATTTCCTCTAAGTCACCATTTGGAGTTTGGTACCACATAATACTTACATTCAAAAAGTTACTTACATTAAATACTTACAATTTAAAAGTACTTACATTAAAAAGTTATGCCTTTATGTAGTTGGCCTATTTTTTTAATTCCCAGTTCAACCTGGACTCTAATAGGATGAAGTTGAAGTTTTTCCATCCTTATGGATCAGACTTTCTCATGCAGGAGGAACTCATGACCTTGGAACACTACCATTGCCTTCCTTCATTTGTGACACCAGGGTAATAATAATAATAATAATAACCTTCTGTGGGAATTGGGATTAGGTAAATGTAAACAAAATGGAACAGAGAACACAAAGCAGAGGCAAGATAAATATGGCTATTTTTAGATGTTATTAATTTTAAAGTGTACCTAGAATTGGGAAACTGCTTTAATTTCGTTTTACAATTTTTACTTCCTGAACAGGGTCACTAGCAACTAATAAGTACACAGATCTTTATCAGTGAATGATAAAGAACGAGATATTGACAGTTTGTCTTATATATGAGATATTTAAAATGATTATCCAAAAATATTTCTTTTTCTCTTTCCCAAGGTATTCAGATGCATTCAGCATTCCTGTAGCCAAGACTGGAATGAAATTCACATTTCCAAATCTCTGTGTAAACTTTTACTGTTGTGTTGTAGGTCTCTAACACTTGTTAATTAGTAGACCACTTCTGGAAAAACTGTAAGGGCTAATAAATTTTTAAATCTGAACAATCACAGAATTTTTAATCTGTGATTGTTCAGATTTAAAATTTTAATAATAAATCACAGAATTTATTTCTCTTCTCAGAAAGTTTTACTGTTTTCATACAGGGCTCACCAATAAAAACTGACCATAAACTCCAGGAAAATTGGCTATAAATTTCAGCCTGTGGTGTAGCATTACTTTGTAGTGTAGTGACTTTCTGGAGAAGAAAAACTATGTTTTACCTAAGCCATTGCAACAAGCTACATTTGAAACATACAGCGTAAGACTTTACTTCCATCCTTTCGGAGTCTGGAGCTACCCAGATTAATTCATTTCACATAAAACAGATTAAAAATATAGAAAGGAGGCAAATATGTCATAAATTTTATGGACAGGAGAGCTTTCTGAAGCTCTCTAAAACCCAAAGAAATGGTAAAGCTTGTTTCTATATTAAGATGAACAAAAGCAGTTATAAAATGAACTATAAAGAAGCAGAAGGCATTATATTAATAATGTCTACACAATTCTTGCAGTTATTAATTCTTGCTGTGTGTGTGCAGAATCATTGATTTCTCTCTTCTGTAGAATATTTCTTTTCTTTCAGTAAAATGATGATGTCTTTCATAAGAAAATGTTTTCTTTTTTAAGAAGAAAAGAGCCTGTTCGAATGGACCCTTTAATTCTACTATATCTCAAGCGTTGTTTACTCAAAATAATCCTTATGCATTAGTTGCAATTTGGGGGTAGCATTTCTGCCTGCCCATCTTACTGTCCAAGTACAAAGTACAGGTGCCTAGTGCAATGACGTTAAAAGTCTGGCAATGCCATTCATGTAAAATGGTTGGTGATTTTTTTCATAAATGTGGATTTTTTTTTCATTCTTTGATTTATAAAATCATATAGAAATTTTGCTCTTGAACAGATTAATTTCTTAACATAGGTGAAAGCAGAATCAATGCAAGTAAGACATAATGAAAGTTCAGAAGCCAAAATTTAGATGTCAAATTTTTTAAACCCTAGGATATAATATATAGCTAATAATAATTAATAATTGTATTACTCTGTGTCCTCAAACCTTAATACAATCTTCTAAATGTTACCTTTTTTCTGATGGAGAAATTGATTTCTCTTGGGTGACAAAGTACGTCATAGTATGACTGAGATATGATCATGAACAAACTACCAGAGATGCTATTTCTTTCCAGCTCCTAATATTCCTGTAGTTATTCTTGCAGAGTCATGAATTCTAGTGGTAACCTTTTATTAATTTACTTAAACCATTCTGTTCTATTGAGGCTCCATATAAATGAAGACTGAAAAAAAAAATCTATGTTACACATTTGCAAAGGAAAAGAGCATAGCCAACAGTAGCCAGGATGAGCCACTACTGCCCGGTTGACCCTAGGACATTAGTGGGAATTTTTGCAATGTTTCTTTCAAACCATTTACTTAAAACTTTTTCTCTACAGACAAAAAGACAAAGCCACAGAGAGATACAGACACAGAGACAGAGACACAGAATTAGTTGAATTACTTAAGAAATTTGTAAAAAATATCAAGCACTGTACATTAGATCCACACAGCTATAGTCAGAATAATAAGTACTTGCTCTTCAGCAGGGGCACAGAGCTGCACAGTGGCTTTAGACCGGACAAGCATGCAATTCATAGTTGTGTCAGGGTGGCAGTTGTCTGGCACACAGAATAGAATAGTCCCCTACAGATCACCTTTATTCCAGAACTTAAAACATGTTTTAACAAAACTAAAATCACAGTAAAACTTGGGTAACTAGATTTTCCAGGCGCAAATTACTTGCGTTGCACTCAAAGATAGAGTTGTCCTAGTTGACTTTCACCATCAGCAATGTGATCAGGCTGCAGGTGGCGAGCCACGGGGCGCCATATTACGTAATGGTTATAAGTACAAATTGTACAGAATACATATGAAAACCCCAGATCTCCAACTACCATTTCAGCTAATGTAAAAAGGTTACACTTGCAAAAAAAAAATTATTTCTGAGTAAGTGCTAGTATCACCCTGCAGAGCTCGGTCCTGTTTTACAGCTACTTTCCTTGAAACAATTGGGTGGCTCTTAAAAGAGCCTTTGGGTCAGAGTGTAACTCGCTATTTATGCCCTCTCCCCTCGGATGCGGCGCGCCAGCTGGATGTCTTTGGGCATGATGGTGACTCGCTTGGCATGGATGGCACACAGGTTGGTATCCTCAAAAAGACCCACCAGGTAGGCCTCAGAAGCCTCCTGCAGCGCCATGACAGCCGAACTCTGGAAACGCAGGTCGGTCTTGAAGTCCTGGGCAATCTCGCGAACCAACCGCTGGAAAGGTAGCTTGCGGATGAGCAGCTCGGTGGACTTCTGATAGCGCCGGATCTCGCGCAGTGCCACGGTGCCTGGGCGGTAGCGGTGCGGCTTCTTCACGCCACCGGTGGCCGGCGCGCTCTTACGAGCGGCTTTGGTGGCCAACTGCTTGCGCGGGGCCTTGCCACCGGTGGATTTTCGCGCTGTCTGCTTTGTACGAGCCATGTAGTACCACAGGACAGATCCTTCAGAACTGAAGAAAAAATAAGAGCCACCCTGCTTTTATAGAAGTAGACTACCGCCGATTGGACCCCAAATTATTCAAAATTACCCGCGCTTTTCCCGGATTGGTCCGCCTTCTTGCTCTCGTTCACAAATTAAAAACTGCATTGAGTTTGATGAACCAATACAAGATCTTGTTTTCACGGCGGCTAATTTGACGTCATCACATTTATTTTGGGGTTTCTATGGCGACTGAACAAAAATCCAGCACGGCAAAATTCTGACCTCTAAATTTAAAGGAAAGCACACAAAGGAACGTATAAACCTCTAACAGATTTTCTAATAGCAGATATGGCAATTGGAGAAATCTGCATTTGGCACTTTTTTTCCCCACACTGCTGGGTAAGTATCGTGAGCAATTGTGGAAACGTTAATACTTTTATAAGGGAAATGTGTGCGTAATTTACTTTAAAGTATTTTTGTGAACTTAAACCTAAGTGAAACGTTAATATTTTAAATGACCTAAAATGCCTTGAGGCTTTTTGCCTATGACTTGTTTTTCCTGATCCTAACTGCTGCGCCACTGCTTAAACTTAAATAACTGCTCTTACTCCAGTAATATTCTTTCGCTTTCTCGGCTCAACTGAAAACTTTACAAACCCAAGAAGAGTTGACCGCTGAACTGCATTTAACAGAAACAGACTTAATTCCTTTCTACCTCGAGTTATAACGTGGAATGGTTAAGTTCAAGCATCACAGCTAATCTAATAGAAAATGGTTATTGGCTCTGAAAAGAGCCTTTGATTTGTTATTAGGATGATTTGTCACTCATGGAATATAAGCAGCATGAACTTATTATTTCCCTTTAGCCTTGTGGTGGCTCTCGGTCTTCTTGGGCAGCAGCACGGCCTGGATGTTGGGCAGCACGCCGCCCTGCGCGATCGTCACCTTGCCCAGCAGCTTGTTGAGCTCTTCGTCGTTGCGGATGGCCAGCTGCAGGTGGCGCGGGATGATGCGCGTCTTTTTGTTGTCGCGCGCCGCGTTGCCCGCCAGCTCCAGGATCTCGGCCGTAAGATACTCCAGCACCGCCGCCAGGTAGACTGGGGCGCCGGCGCCCACGCGCTCGGCGTAGTTACCCTTACGGAGCAGGCGGTGTACGCGGCCCACGGGGAACTGGAGCCCGGCGCGGGACGACCGCGTCTTGGCTTTGGCGCGAGCCTTGCCGCCCTGCTTACCGCGTCCAGACATAATTACTTGCAAACACACACACACACAAAAAGAACAGTACCAGGCAACAAAACATAGAGTCTGCCATAGGAAGGCTGACATAAGAAGTATTTATACTGGTTAGAGCCAGGTTTGTGCTGGTCTCTCATTGGCTAAAAAACTAACCAATGGGAGAGGAGAATTTGCATCCTTCATTTGCATATACTCCTTTCTTCTGATAAGGTTTGTGTTAGCCAATTAGAAACATCTGAGGAGCAATTCTTTGAATACCAATAATAACTAGGTCAATTTGATATTCTCAAAACTTTTAAAAACGAGCTGACGTATGTATGTTCCTAGACTTTTAGCCACTTGTCCTTTTCAAGATAGCGACTAGGATTTTAGAAATAAATTTAAGACTATATCTGAGTAGATAACTTTTAGCACACACTTCCAGCATTGTTTTAACTTTTAAATGTCACCATGCAAGAGTGGAAGGCAGAGAATTCACTCAGTCACATTAAGAACGTATAATCAATTGAGTGATGGATGGAAACAAAAATCTTCCATTCATTCATATCAATTTGAGCCAACCAAATCAATAAGCATGTGACATCTGCTACTTGTTCAGTAACTTAATCCTATTAGCAAAAACCTTAAAATCAAATTGTTCTTTTGAAAGATTAGAAACAGAAAAATTAATAGATTTTTACCTTTCAAAGTGTTGTGAAAGAGAGGTGTTGGGGCTGGGGATTTAGCTCAGTGGCATAAATACCTGCCTTGCAAGCAGGCCGTAGTGAGTTCGATCCGCGGTACTGATAAAAATGAAAAAAGACAAAAAAAAAAAAAAAAAAAAGAAAGAAAGAAAGAAAAAAGAAAGGGAGGTGTTAGAGAGGGTAATATTGGAAATTGTTTCATACAACTAAGAGAAAAGGAGTAACAACTCCAACCACAAAGACAGTGAAAGCAGTTCAGTATGAAGTCTACTGGTTTGCATATGAATTTTGTTTTCTCAACAAGCCACAAAAATATAATGTGAGTTGAACACACTTTTGAAAACAAAATTGCTGGCACTGAGGCTTCATCATGCAGAGGTAAATGTTTTTCCTGTATTTTTATTAGTTGACTGGGCTCTGTAATAGTACTGTTGCCATAACCCACACCTGAGATGTTGTCTATAGCAGAGCTAGTGGGAAACTGATAATGTATTCTCCCAAAGTGATCTCCCAAATTAGTGAGTTTAGATAACCAAAAACAAGTAAACTAGAGGGCTTATCAGGCTTGATTATAATTTTATTTATGTATTTATTTATTCTTAGTACTGGAATCTAACTCAGGATTTTGAACTTGCCAGACAGGTGCAGCGCCACTGAGCTAAATTACTGGGAATGCTTTATTTTCTGATAATAGTTTCTCATTTTGTGCAAACATTGTAATTCCCTGGTTTTACCAGTGTTGGGTGATGGGTCTTTTAAAAATAGCACCAAGGATAGAGAAAACATCATGTCACAAACCACATGCCATAGGCTTGGGGGTTTTATCTTGTCTCAGCCTTTATAATGGCACAGTCCCACTATGGGGTCCCCTCTCAGCCACTACCTGTACGTCAAACATGTGGAATTTAAAAACAAGGCCTGCAAATCTAGAATCACAAGAAATCAAAGAAAACTACAGGACTCCAGAGATAGTAGTCCAATCTCCTTGAGGAAGGGAATAGGTGAAGGTTAGGGTGAGTAAACAAAGGAGGTGATGCTTCTCTCATTCAAATGTATAATTCCAAGTATGTGAGTTTCTGATCTTCAACACAGCACTTCACGACAATGATCACTAGTCTCAAGCAGCTATTAAGAATTTGAAGCAAGGTTCATCCAAACTAAGATGTCTTAAATATGAAAAACTATATTCAAAAGATATAAAATGTATCACTTATAATTATCTTTATTGATTGTATTTGTTATAGTAATATAACTACTAGAAAACTTCACATATTTATTACTACTGAGCAATTTATTACTACTGGATATAGAGACTCCACGAATATTCCAAATATATACTGTAGGAGGTGACCACAATGTAGAGACACAAAAATTTGTTTCATAAGGGGAAAGTAAAAGCTTTTGAAAGCCTAGATTTCAGTGTATGTGTCAATATTAGACTCTGTCACTCATGGGACATTACAAAACTAGAATCAAGAATATTTTTTAATGTCTTGATTATTTGCTTAGGGTCATTTGTTTACCTTAGAACACTGGTTTAAATATGCATCCCATCTTTTGAAAAAGTTAATGACGGTAACAAATCTTAAAAGAAACCTCTAATGGTTGTTTTCCAGATCTGTAAATTGCATTTATCTAACAGAAGTTCTAAGCCAGTTCAGATACTTCCAGTACTTCAAAAACTACTTTTAAAGAGCAAAAAGAAACGATTATACCACTGAATATAAAAACTGTGGAAATAGTAGCTGGAGATCTACTGTACTCCTAGATTATCACATTAAAGCAACATATAATCATTTCAAAAGCATAACATTTGAAACAAAGTAGACCCCACAATTCTCTGTAATCTTTCTGCTAAACACAGTTAAAGGTCACTGCCAAGCATGGTGGTATAGAGCTCTAATGCCAACACTTGGGAAGCTGAAGCAGAATGATCGCCATACATTTGAGGCCAGCCTTAGGTACATAATGAGACTCTGCTGCATATAAACACACACACACACACACACACACACACACACACACACAAACACAGAGCTGCTATTGCATATAAGAAAACCACAAGGCATGAAAGATGGAGAGCAGATAGGCTGACTCTCAAGCTGAAGGTCTCAGAAGCAATTCAATGCTGTACTAATGGGTTTGCTTTTCATCTCATATAATTTACACTATATCAAAATACTTAAACATGTCATTCAAGTTCAATTATAAGAAAATGTGGTGTTGAGAAAAAGTATTTGAAGAAAACTGACTGAAATTTTCATAAATTTAACAATAGACTTCAAGAACCTAAATGACCCTCAAATAAAATAAACCTAAAGAAGCCCTCAAATAAAAGAAACCTAAATGCAAACAGTTGGTAATAAAATTTGTAGAAGCTAAAGACAAAAATAGTGCATGCTAGGCAAGCTCCCATTAAGCTACATGTCCAACACCCAAAGCCAATAGCTTATGGCAGCAAAAAGGAAGAATAGAACCTTCCCTGTAAGGGAAAAGTCAACTCTGATTTCAGTAGATTTTGAATCAGAAACTATGTAAGGAATAGAAAGTGACATAGCATTTTTCACGAGCTAAAAGAAAAGAATTGGAACTATGAACTGTGAATTCTTTATTTTTGAGAAATTAACAGGAAAATAAAAGCATTTTTAAATGAAAGAAAAATAGAATTTGTTGATAGCATAACTATTCATAGGACAAGATGTCAGAAAGAAATTATCGAGATTTTAGGAACATCATCTAACAGATAATAGTTTCTTTGATTGTTTTGTTGATTGGTTGCTTTGGTTTAGTTTTAGCTTTTTGAGACAGGGCTTATTTGGTAGTATAGCTTTACAGCTGAAGTTCCTAACATAGCTGATAAATCTAAGAAAAGAGCAAAATTTGTTTAACATAACATTTACGTAACAATATAGACTTCACATCCAAAAAACAAGGAAACCCAGGTATGCTTAGGGTAAGTTTGGTGAAGAAGTACATAGCTGTGACCTGTAGAAAACAAAAGAGTATGATCAAAGGATTATGTGGTAACACAACATAGGACTTACAAAAGCTTGTGAATTCATTCTTTGTTAGGGCTCTATGTCTTTAAGCTCCTTACTCCAGTTATTAGGTGATCACCTACTTCAACAGAGGAATTATATAAGTTAGTCTCATTTGGAGTACCTTCTCCCGAAAGCCATCAATGTATGTATTTGAAATTACTACTTGAACTGGTTGTTATTTTTAAAATAGGTCAGGGGCTGGGGATTTAGTTCAGCAGTATAAGTTCTGTCTTGCAAGCACTTAGTCGTGAGTTTGATCCCTGGTACCGAAATAAAATAAAAAAGGCAGGTCATTATTTTTCCAGGAAATTTTTATAAAACAACCTTATTTAAACACATATATTATTGCTTAATGGAAATGGAAAGACAAAAACGCGAGAGCATTGTTGGGAGATGCTGGATACAGAACTGCGAAGTTGGTGTCCTCCCACCTGCCATGAAACAGGCCCAGGAAATTTCTTATCTCTAGACTATGTCCTTTCTTTCCCCAGTCATAAGCAATAACTGGACCTTCCATAATCTATCACTTTGTGGGCCTTTCCTTTCCAAATTCCTGTAATCTCTCAAAATGTTCTCAGGACACGTCCACATAGACCTTCCTTTACAAATTCAGCTCTTCTTGTGGGTAGACAGAGAAATGTTTCCTTAATAAAAGGAGAACCTGGAACATATTATAGCAAGTTGCGCTCTCTTTTCTTTAATAACAAAGACTGCAGCTCTGCAGAAAATGTGGGAGTTTATAATTGAAGGGGATATATAAAAATTGTGTCCAAAGGTAGAGCTTCATACAGACCATCTGGAGGACTTGTGAACATTTCTGAATTCTCACCACTCCCCAGAATCCAAACATTTATTTGAAAACAAAAAACACTGTGTGCACTTGTTGAATTTTAGTATAGGCCAAACTTTGAACTTAGGAGACCTGAATCTTGGTGTGGGACTATCAAAGTTACAATTCTAGTAAAATATCAAGTATTCTTGGTACTGATACAGCAATGATGTAGGATCTCCAAATGATGCATGGGAAATATAACTCCCAACTTGCTAGATGTTTGCCATGCCAAGTTCCTGTTTCCCAAAATCAAAGAATGAATTCTAAGGAACAAATGAAGTTAAGAGTAGGAAATATTTATTGAGAGGGCAAGACACAGCTCCTGAGAGACAGGAGGGTTCCTGAATGGGTTGCCCGGCTTTACCTACTACTCAAGGGAAGTTTTATAGAGTACAACCACCTGGGTACAACATAGCATGAAGCTATGCTCAACCAATAGGATTACAAGTATGCTTAGGTACTATTGATCCAGTGGGGAAGAAGTCACACAGAAAGTGTGCATGGAAAGAAAAATCTACTTTTCAGGAAGGAATGAGTGCAAGAGTCTTGTTCACTCTCTGAAGTGACTGATGGACTTTATTAGACCAGGTAAATTCAAATCCTTTATCTCTCTCTGAACTTCCTACAGCCTTTGGGGAAGCATGTAGAGCTAGTCATTTCAGTCTTTATCTTGAGGTCTGGCCTCTGACAGAGGTACCACAGGTCACAGTTGTAATGAGTTTTCATTTCCCACACTGACTCTCCTGAGGGCAAAGCCTAATCTGACTGCCTGTAATATTTCTTAGTTATCTATAATAATACCTTATTTAGAAGAGGAAAGAAAAAAGAGGAAAAGTGCCAGCTAATAAACAACCATAAAAGACAACTTGGAAAGAAAAATAACCTCTGCTTCAAAAGATCACATCAGATGTTAAGAAATAATAATACTATCAGGATTTTCACTGATATCTTGTCAAAATGAACACCTTAATCCGTGGGAAAGGGGACGTTTTAAAAGTCAAGACATTGATGTTTAACTCAAGCCTTCCACAGTAGCACTGTGTATTCTGAAACTGATTCTCACACAGTTTACCAACATGTGCTGTCCAGACTATATTTTTAATCTATCTTTTTAAAAGTTTATTTTTGAGGTGTCTTTATCTAAACATGTTGCTGAATATGGCTGCATAAAGTGCTCACACCTTACAGGAACTGTTTCTTTTCAATAAGCAGCCCTCCTCGCTAGCTAATCCACACACACCCATCTATTTTTTTCCCTGTTCTAGACCCAAAAAACCCCCTGACTGTCTCACCCCATGCTCTTCCTGATGTTCTAGTCCTCATTTTTGGAGATGCTGACTTTTGAGAAGGCTTGTGGAGGAAACCAGTTGTTTCTCTTCCAATTAAGGGATCCTCCCCGTGGGCTCTAAGCGGCTCCAGAGGAACAAAGCTGGGAAATTCAAACCCTTTGTCCTTCTCTGAGATCCTGCCAACGCTCTTAACTCTATTCTAGGCTTCAGCAACAAAGGACCCCAGGATTTCTGGAATAGGAGGAAAATTTTAATGGTTTTGGAGTAGTCGCTAATGTCAGCAAATAATTACAACTTGAAATATGGAATTCCATTGTTAAAAGAACTACAGGCATACTCCAATAAGGTACCCAAAAGCAGTTTCACTTAGTGGTGCCCCTATGCTATTACACAGCAAGAAGAAAGGTCTAGCTCTAACACATCAACCAGGATTCCCTAAGCCCACCCCCAAAAGACCCAAAAAGAACCTCACCTTCCAAAACCCCCTGACAGATACCTGAACCGCTATGGAACTTCAGACCAGTAAGAAAAGTGCTATTAGAAAAAAAAGGGAGTGGTGGGCATGCCCAAGTAATTTAAAAACCGCCCAGTAGCTATTAAGGGGTGGGGGTGGATAGACCTGAACTGAAAAGGTGAAATTGGCCTTTTGGATGTTATTGTTAAGATCTAATGGTCATTTGCTGTAACCGAACTCAAATCAAGAAATGTAAGAAACAATAGTTACAGCTCTCTTTGGATAAAGTGGGTGGCTCTGAAAAGAGCCTTTGGGTTGGGGGCAGCAGCCAGGCACGCTCATTTGGAGCTGGTGTATTTGGTGACGGCCTTGGTGCCCTCGGAGACAGCGTGCTTGGCCAGCTCCCCGGGCAGCAACAGCCTCACAGCAGTCTGGATCTCCCGCGACGTGATGGTGGAGCGCTTGTTGTAGTGCGCCAGGCGCGATGCCTCGCCTGCGATGCGCTCGAAGATGTCGTTGACGAAGGAGTTCATGATGCCCATGGCCTTGGACGAAATGCCTGTGTCTGGGTGCACCTGTTTGAGCACCTTGTACACATAAATGGAATAGCTCTCCTTGCGACTGCGCTTGCGCTTCTTGCCATCCTTTTTCTGAGCCTTACTGATGGCCTTCTTCGAGCCCTTTTTCGGGGCGGGGGCCGACTTTGACGGTTCAGGCATTGTTTTGTCTAACAGCGGTACAAAAGGTTACAATGTAAACAACAAAGACAAGCAGGTGGGAAAAAAAAAAAAAACACCTAGGGCCTTTTATTTATAGTCCCGTAATGCTAATGAGGGTTTGAGATTCGTCACTAGTGATTGGACCACAAGATAATTTTTTCCTAAAGGGGCGGGCCTAACACAAATAAAAGACTCACGTTCCCTTTTTTTATTGGACAAAAAGCAACATTTTTCACCAATGAGATGGCTAGTAATGCATCCCTGCGGTGACTATAAATATGTTTCTTCACGTCAGCTGCGCTTGCTCTTGTACTTTTGAACAATGTCTGGACGCGGCAAGCAAGGAGGCAAGGCTCGCGCTAAGGCTAAGACCCGGTCGTCCCGCGCCGGCTTGCAGTTTCCCGTGGGCCGTGTGCACCGCCTGCTCCGCAAAGGCAACTATGCGGAGCGCGTGGGGGCTGGCGCCCCAGTGTACCTGGCAGCCGTGCTGGAGTACCTGACGGCCGAGATCCTGGAGTTAGCTGGTAACGCGGCGCGCGACAACAAAAAGACGCGCATCATCCCGCGCCACCTGCAGCTGGCCATCCGCAACGACGAGGAGCTCAACAAGCTGCTGGGCAAGGTGACGATCGCGCAGGGCGGCGTGCTGCCCAACATCCAGGCCGTGCTGCTGCCCAAGAAGACAGAGAGTCACCACAAGGCCAAGGGCAAGTGATGTCCGGGACACAGCAAAGGGCTGAAGTTCCACTTGAATCTAAAGGCTCTTTTCAGAGCCACTACGTTTTCATTAAAAAAGCTGTTAACTTTTAATCTAATAATAAATCATGCTCTTGCACCTCTTTTAATCTCTGGCATGTTAAATAAGTTCCACTAATCATAAGATTTATCGGATCCTATTCCATACTAAAAGTAAATGCTTGGAAAAACAAGTGGGGTTTATCAGGTCATGTCCCCAGTTAAGTAAATGTTTAGAAAAACAAGTGAAATGTCACTGTCCACTAAAAAGAAGTAAACTGTTAGGGGAGCAACGCAGATTTCCCAAATGAATTTTTAAAAATTATCGCAAATAACTTGAAATCTTGGTTGTCCGGCGGCATTGGCTAAATGGCGGTTCTGTTAACTAGTAACCTCCACTCCCGATCAGACTTAATTATAAATCACATAGTAATATGATTAAAATGGTTCCTACTGCACATTTCTCCTGGTGACTACAGTAGAACGTCACAGAATTTGTGGTCAGGCAGAGAGGATGACATTAGAGCCATTTGTGCAATCAGGGTCTCTTCCAATCAACCAACCGTATGATTTATCTTTCAGCCAATAATTTTGTCGCGCGGGTCTTTTTGAAAACTGTAAAGCCAATCAGAATGCTTCCAAGTGTATTTAAGGACAACTGTGGGTAAGATTGCTACATTCTATTGTGTTTTCTTTCTGTGATGGCTCGTACAAAGCAAACTGCTCGTAAGTCCACTGGCGGGAAGGCCCCGCGCAAGCAGCTAGCTACTAAAGCTGCTCGCAAGAGCGCCCCGGCCACCGGGGGCGTAAAGAAGCCGCACCGCTACCGCCCGGGCACCGTGGCGCTGCGCGAGATCCGACGCTACCAGAAGTCCACCGAGCTGCTCATCCGCAAACTGCCCTTCCAGCGGCTGGTGCGTGAGATCGCGCAGGATTTCAAGACCGACCTGCGTTTCCAGAGCTCGGCTGTTATGGCACTGCAAGAAGCTTCCGAGGCCTACCTGGTGGGCCTGTTCGAGGATACTAACCTGTGTGCTATCCACGCCAAGCGGGTCACCATTATGCCCAAGGACATCCAGCTGGCGCGCCGCATCCGCGGGGAGAGGGCTTAAGCCAGTCAAGTGACAACTTAAAAGGCTCTTTTAAGAGCCACCCACTACATTTTAAAAGCAGCTGTAGAACATTATACTAGTATTTGCTATACTGTTTGAAGTGGTTATTTGGTTAATTTTTTGAATTGCGTTCAGGCAACCTTGTTATGTGACCCTTTGAAAAGTATATCTATCTGCATTGCATGGATGAGCAGGAAAGCAGCTGCCTATTGCAGTTAAAATATTCTGAATGACTTTAAGTGAGCAATATTTTTTTGGATTTTCCCCCCTTTTTTTCGCCTTTTTAACTCAGGTCCCTTTTTTAATCAGTGAAACTAAAACCAAGCTGTCATGAATACATAAACTTAAAAGTTACACTTCAAAAAAAATATTTTTTTAGGCAAGGTCTCACCGTGTAGTCTACTTTTCTCTAACTTTTTATGTACCCCAAGGCTATTCTGATCTCAGTCCTTCCGCCTCAGCCTCCTCAGTGCTGGGATTACAAATTTGTTCCACCAAACTGAGCTAAAGTACAACATTACAAAACAGTGAGTATAATGGGAGATGATAATTACAAAACTTATTTTATATTTTAAAAACCCACCATATTCAACACTAAATTGAGAAACAACAATTGACTCCACTGTAGCACTAAAATGTTTCTATACCTTGGGCTGAAATTCTAGCTATTGCTAGAAAAAAATATTTTGTGATTTTTATAAATCGGGAAGAGAAATCAGTAATCATTATTTTTTGACAACTTAGAGGAACTTCAACTTGAAAACAAATGGTAATGTCAAGTTTTGTACTTTTATTTAGAATGGGTTTCAAATTTGAGAAATATTATGAAGTTTCCTCTATATGAGGTAAAATTTGGAAGAATTCCCAGCCTAGCTAACTGGCTTTGTTTGCAATTTTAATTGTCTCCTACTGTGACAGGCAGCTGAGTTCCATAGAAATCCTATAAGCAGTGTGACAGGGCTAGGTCCTCAAAAGAGCCAGTGCAAAAGCCCAAAGACCTTACAAAGGTTAGGGAGACAGATGCCTGTTGTGGGCCCGGTCTCAAGACAAAAGATCAAACAAATGCACCCACAATTCTAAGGACTGATATTCTAAATAGTTCCCTATCACCCTGAGGAAGTCAACATCACTAACCCCCTAGGGAAGAGTCACTGATCTCTATGTGACTTTCTATGTGACTTTGCTTCCCCATTTGTCCTCAGTTTAATCAGTTTACCTAAACATTAATCTTATTGGCTAACCATAGTTCTGTCTCACCTTATGCTCCTCTTCCTCGAGTTCCGTTTCACCACTTTAAGCCTGTCTCATCCCATGATTTTACTCTATAACAAATCCCTAAAACAGACAGAATCCCTGGCAACCCATCCCTGGGACTGCTTCTGTCTCATACGAAAGCTTTCTTTCACTCAATATACATATTCTGTTCTTAACGTCCGTTGTTCCTAAAATTCATTCTTCGACTTGGGAAAACATAAACTCATACCAGACATAAGTCGAAAGTATCATTCCCCTATATCACCTCTATGTGCTCTCCCTCCCAGCAGTGGTTCTATGAAAACATGAATGCTTAAGGTGATCTCCAATATCTTATATCTCTCCAGGAATCCATGTGAGTCAACCTAGGGAGCGTTAGGAATTTTTTCTGAAGATGCTATTACATCAACTTGGCCAGTAAATCAGGCATGGTGGTGCATGTCTATAATCATAGCATTTGGTAGGTTGAGGCAGGAAAATCACCTCCAGTTCGAGGCCAGCCTGATCTATGGAGCAAGACAATGTCTCAAAAGACCAAAAGACAACCAAACAGAAGAACAAAACAAAACAAAATTGATGCCAGCAATAACAATTGTTCTATACATGAGCACATCTGAAAATGACATTATGTATTTCATTAACCCCATAATAAACATATATTCAAATAAATTTTCTCTGATCCTAATTCCAAATATTATAAATTAAATTATAATTGAAGGAAAGATTGACTGGAAATAAAACAAAGGTCTTTGTTAGCTATGACTAAAACATCCCAAATTCAAAACAAAACAAAGCAAAAATTTGACACAAACTAAATTTAGGCCTAGGGCCCTACCCAAGGCTTTAGACATGTGATAGATTTGACATTTTACTTTGTTTTAGTTTCAGGGTAAATCTGCCTCTGATTCCCAGCATTTTAAATCATAAGTGGCCTTTCTCCATTGTGTTGTATACCACAGAAATGCGCTGAGTTGTGATTCATCTAATGGGAGTTGACTCCCAATTCTCTAATTAAGAGACTCTGGATTGTGTACCATTCTCAGAGAGATACCAGAAGAAAAACAAACAACATTGTGGTAGATATAAAGTCAATTTTAATCAATTTGAACATTACATATTCAACGCTAAGATCAGTTTGGAAAGTTTCATAGATCCATTTAATACTGACTTATCAACCTTTAGAGATGGGAGGAAATGACAACAGATTCATAGAGGCAGCCTGAAAGCTAAGGATTGTTTTCTGTGACTCAAGTGCTATGTGAAATGACTGGCCTCTCCACATTTCAAAGCTCTCTACCTCTCAATTTACAGTGGAACTTCAGCCTAACAGATTTCAGCAAATTGGCCAAATTCATACTACTATCCAGACAGTCTCATTAAGTCCACATTCTTAGTATTTTCTGATTAATAAATTTACCCACCAATGCATTATCAAATGTACTTTCTTCCTCAAAGGTACTTCTGTTTCAGAAATAGCTGCCCCAGGGTAGATGGGGAGGAATGCTGCATAACAGAGTCAGCTGGTTGGAGACCTTGTGTGAGGGGAAGTAGGTAGTATTTTAGAAAACAGTTCATTTAGTTAATTTATGAGTTAAGCAGCTACCTAGGGGAAGGGTCTGAGATAGAGTCCACTGGTAAACCATATGATAAGAATTAAAATAAGAATAGACAGGAAACTAGGATTTTGGATCAAGAAACCTCAGGCAACATGGACTGCAGCCCCTTCCCTACTGAAGAGAGTAGTAACCAAGCCTCACTAAATCCTGAGATTTGAGAATTTTAAAATCCAATGAATATAAGTAAACATTATGTACTTCAGACATGTACAAACAGATAAATGAAAATAAAGGGATGGGTGAGGGAGGGATGGAAGGGAAAGGGGATTGAAAAGGGAATCAAAATGTGTTAAGTACATGCATCAATTCTCACAAGAAATGTAAACATTATTCGTGGCAAACGTACTATTTTTTTTTTTTTTTTTGAGACAGGGTTTTACTATGCAATTCAGGCTGACCTTGAACTCTCACTTGTAGCAATCATCCTGTCTCAACCTCCCAAGTGCTGGAATTACAAGTATGTGCCACCACACCCAGCCTAAACATGTACTCTAAATAAAAAGTTTTAAACCTTTTCAGTGAATTTCCTTAGGCAACATAGAATGCAGCTCCCTCCCTACTGGAGAGTTGCAGCCACTCCCTACTAAATTCCTGAGTTCTGAGGAATTTAAAACACAAAATAATCAGAACTTTTCTCTCAATCCCAGTTTCCTTTAAACTCTATAGGTTGAAGAATTGGATTAGGCTCAGTTCCAATTAATCATTTTAAATCCAGGGAGCCACCTGTGATAGGTGACCACTAAACAACTGAGCAGTTTTAGTGCTCTGCTTATGTATAATTTGTTCTCTATCAAGGGGCTATGCAGCTACCAACTTGAGACCTCTCTTGAAAACCCAGAAGCAATTATTATTGTTTTCAATAAACTCTTCTAATTTCTTCTTTTTGGATCATGACTTCATTCCTGGACCTTGTTGAGACCCTGAGTTCTGTACATGTGGTAATACTATCACTTCAGGGTGTTAAAGGGAACAAAGTTAGATAGAAACATTATAGGCCAACAGGGCTAGGTCCTCAACCGACCCAGTGCAGAAGCCCAGACACCTTGCACCTGTGAAGGAGACAGACACCTCCTGCTGTGGGCCAGGCCTCAAGACAACCATCAAACAAATGCACCCACAGTTCTAAGGATTGATATTCTAAATAGGTCTCTATCACCCAGAGAAAACCAGAGGTCACCATCCCACCCCCCTAGGAAAGAGTCACTAAATTAAGCAGCTGGCTTACTATGTGACTTGCTTCACCATTTGTTCCCAATTTAATCAATTTTACCTGAGTAATTAATCTTACTGGTTGACCACAGTTCTGTCCCACCTTCTGTCTTATCTTGTGAGTTACCAATTTCAGGGTTTTGCTCTGTAACAGTCCCTAAAAAGACAGTCTCTGGTAACCCATTTGGGACCCTTTCTGTCTCTCAGAAAAGAAGCTTTCTTTCTCTCAATAAATGTATTCTGCTCTTAACCTCCATTATTCCTAAAATTCATTTGACTTTAGAGAACACAAACTGGTATCGGACATACAGCAGGTTGGGAGTTTCGTTTCTCTATATCATGGGGACATCAAATCTTAGAAATACTCTTAAGAACCAGAACAGAATTAATATTTCCTTGAAAACATCTAGATTCTGCCCCACAGCAAGTACAAAGTCTGCCAAAAAAAAAAAAAAATGTAGACCCACTTCAATAAAAAAATTGCATACATATATTAATACTAAATTTATTGACACACCATGAGGTTAACACAAGTTATCTTTGATCTCTCAGTTATAAGAAGCAATTAAAGTGGTGGCCATTAGTGTCTGACATTAATTAGTGTGGCAAACTGCTGCTTGAGTAACCTTGGCCATTGAGAATGCTACACATGCATTTTCAATTTTTTCTCTAAGGGCCAGCAGTGTAGTAGGTTCTAATGTAGTGATACATGGTATCCTTTAGGATAAGACGATCTGTTGAAAAAAAAAAATCACACACACACACACACAGAGACATCTTTGGTGGGCTCTGTATTTATGTTTTACCATTAGTTTAAAAATCATGCTGTTCAAGACAGCAGCTCCTCGCTATATGTAGCTATTAAGCATGTGAAGTGTAGCTAATCCAAATTGAGATGTGCCTTTTTTTTTTTTTTTTTTTTTTTTGAGACAGTTTCTATATGTAATGCAGGCTGAATTTGAACTTGCTTCTGTAGCCCATTTTGGCCTCAAATTCAGGGTTATCCTCATGCCTCGGTCTCCTAAATGCTGGCATTATAACTTTGTACCACCACACTCAGCTGAGATGTTCTTTAAATGTGAAATACCAGATTTTAAAGCCTTAGCACACACAAAAAATATTAATATTTTAGATTACTTATTGAAGTAATATTAACATAGTAAAATAACTTTAGTTCTTTCTTTTTACTTTAATATGGCACTAGAAGACGTTAAATACGTGACTCTTAATTTTCTGAGGCATGAGTGTCTGTGACAGTCTCAGACCAGAAGCTGTTACATAATGATGTTGTTAAACTGAAACTAGCATTGAAACGGAATTTGAAAACTAAGCCTTTTGTCCTGCTTCCTCATATTAAGTGACAAAGGGCACCACCAGGCCCTGGTATCATGGAAGTAGACACAGGACCACACTCAACATTTTCTGGACCCACTGGCTTCTAGCTTAGTCCTTTGTAACAAAGCATCAGTTCTTCAGTTCTAAAACTGGGAATATAATGGCACCTACCTCAAGTGCAGCAATAAAAATGTAGTGAAAACAAATGTAATCAGCAGCAGTTCTTGATGCTCTGTAAATAAGAAGTAAGGAATTGCTAGTTTTTAGCTGGGCTTCACAGAATACAACTATAATCTCAATATTCAGGAGGCTAAAGCAGGAGGTTCACTACAAATTCAAGGCCAGCTTGAATTACTTAGTTCAAGATCAAGTGAAACACACAGTGAGACCCTTTTGAAACAAAGCAAAAAGCATTCCCAACCAACCGGCCTTGGTAAGGAAGGCCTTTATGCTGCTGAGCAGCCCTGAAATTGCTAATTCTTAGTGCTGTTGTTGCCACTTAATCACTGTTCCATTCTGAAATGATGCAGTCCTGTCTGTAGGGAGCATGTTCACCTCTAGCATGGATTTCAAGCAGAGATATGGTTTACCTTGCCCTCAGGTTTATATGGCCCATATCTAGAATTTTACTTACAATAGTGATAGGATGTTTAATTTTTCAGTCCTTAGATCACTTGTATGAAAATGTGAGTAATGTACTATAAGTAGCTCTAATTTCTGCGTTACACTTCCATCTACTGGGCCAGTCTCTTGAAGTTTCATGGTTATATCAACAATCTAGTTCATGAAAAATTCATCGGCATTTTTGGCTAAACAGCAGTGCTTGGGGAATTATATGAATATATTATTACTATTTGTCAATATTTATTTTGTAAACCTAGACAAAAAGTTGAAATGATAATATTAATAATAAATATGATAGTTTTTGAAGGGAATCAAAATGTCCCCAATGAACATGCCATAGTGGTATAAAGATTATTTTGAACTGAAGGTGATTCAGCGTCAACAGATATGGACTTCTCTGTTTTCCCCTTACCTACCTAAATGTAGAACATAAATGACACTTTATAAAGGCATCGTAAGTTCCCCTAATGAGATGTCCTCTACAGGAAAAGCAGAACAACTCCTACCAGTTCAGATAGGGAGTTTGAGATGAGACTTCTTAAACAATCTATACCAAGTCTCACTTTCCACTAGCTTTATCCATACACTTCCTGCTAATTTGCCCCAAACATATTTCCTGAAGCCCAAGGCCCCTATACATTGTTAAAATGTGATTGTATCCTCTTTAGGTCTCCGGTTACTGAAATTTGATTCAACCTGAACTAAGGGAGGAGGCTGTGTGACAGGAGTTCAGATGGCCCAAAGACCCAGGGAACTGAGATGACAAGAAGTCAGGCAGTGTGGCTCCATGTCTCTCACCTATGCCTGGCTCTGCAGTCCTGCTGTGTTCTACTTTTCTGCCCAATAGGTATCCTGGTTTCTCATCTGTAGTGTAACAAAACGCATCCCTAGCCTCAGACATCAGATCATCTGTTTCTAAAAATCAATTCAAGTTTCTAAATGCAAGATTATTGACTGTCTGAAATTAGCCCATGACTTCTGGATCAATCTATTGTTTAAGATCAGATGCTTTATTTTCAAAATTTTAGTACACAAAAAAATGGTATGTATTAGAAAACACTGTTACTTGAAACCAAATTGAGATCAGAGAAGGCCAGGATAAAATCAAGGCATTCTGAAGTTGCGCTGTCCACACTGTTCCTTTGAGCCACAAATGGCTGAGTGCTGGTGATGGACTTCTAGGAACTTGGCTGTATTACATAAAAACACATGGGAGACTGTGAAGATTTAATACGAAAAAACAACGAATATAGAATACTCAGAAATATTTTATATTCATTCTATATTGGATAATATTTTAGGTAAATGGAATTAAAGCATTCGATTAAAATAGATTCACCTTTTTTTCTCATTTATGTTGCTTTTAAGAAGTTTTCGATTACATATGTGGCTTGTTTCTATGCTCACCTTTGTGTTAATGAACAGAACAGTTCTACAACTGCTAATTCCTTTACAAAGACCTCTTTAATAATTGGGTAGTGCTATTGTGTGCTTTATGCAATGGCCCTCAAGGAATCTAAAACCTTATGTTGGCCATTTCCAACAGCAACAAAGACAAAATTGGCACAAGGTAGCAAGCAAGACTAAAATCCCAGGCACCGGTATCAATATCTGTGATTCCAGCACCCTGGGAGGCTACAGGAAGAAGACCACAAGTTGGAACTCAGCCTGAGAAAACCAGGGACACCCTGTCTAAAAATAAATACGCAAGCAGGGGGTGGGGGGAAGCTAGGGACTAATGTTCAGTGCAGTGGTCCTGGATTCAATTCCCAATACTCAAAAAAAAAAAAAGAAAAAAGAAAAAAAAATTCTCTATACAAAAACAACCTACAAAAATAACCTATAAATTTAATACAATTCCAATAAAATGATCAATTTTGTTTTAAATAAGTGATGAAGGGATTGGAGGACTTCAAGTATATACAGAAAAGCAAAGTAAACCAGGATCTGAAAGAGAACAAGAGGAATCTCACTATTGGCTACTGGTTATATTGTTAACATCAGTTAAAAGTACCTATTACATGTCACACATTCTGAGCATTGCAGGTAGGGTTCTGAACAATACTTAAAACAGCTGGACCCTACCTTACAAATGGCCAAAAAAGATCAAAAGAATATAACAAACCAAGATTTAGTTTAGAGGGACTCTTGACTAAGATAAAGATGAAATCCAAATTGGGAAGGAGATGCAGAATGAGAATCCCTAAATGGTTTTAAGATTATGTGAATAAAGCCACAGTGTGTATTCAGACTTACATTAATACAAAGAGCACAAATACTTGATGTAAAAATAAAGTCCGGGGGTCACAGTACAAACCTATAATCTCAGCACTCTAGAAGGCCAAGGTACGATCCCAAGACAGTCTATAGCTCTTACACTTCGGTGACTAACATTTCGCCTAAATGATTAAAAGGAACTAGAGTAATTTAGTGCAAAGGACTTAGGTTCAATCCCCAGTACCGCGGGGGTTGGAGTAATCAACTCAATATTACTGTAAGAAACCTGAATTTTTCTCCTCACTCTTCCTAGTGCTAAACGCCAAGGGGAAATTCACATACTAAATTAACTCGGTAGACACTGAGGCACAGATCTCCAGTACCTGTAACTGCAGTGCCTGTAATAAGATTGCCTCAAAATCTATCCCCCCCCCCCCGCCCGACACAGAACCAGCGGGAGATAGAAATCCTGGGTCCAAAAGAAATTCCGCGGTTAGGAAAAACTGCCAAAAAAAAAAAAGCCCTCAAAACAAGACAAAAACACCAGTTAATGAAAACTCTAGCCTTTTATTGAAAACAGGCATCGCGTTAGCGCCAATTCCAGCTAGCACTTTGTTCAGCTTTGCGTAGAAATACTTAAGACACACAAATAAAACTATGTCAGACAAAATGTGAAACTTAACATTCGCAGCGCCCACTGCTCGTTACATCTTGGGACACAGCTCAAGACCAGAACAACTTTTGGCCCACCCTCCATCCTTGCCCCCGGGGAAGGCAGACCCACTGCCACCGCGAAGGAATTTCCTTCGCTTCTTCTCTTAGCGGGACGTAGCTGCCGACTCCCACCCTCCTCAGTGTCCGCAGGACCACAGTTCTAACTTTACAGCACGACTTACTGCTGCGAAGAAGCTGGGGATCACTCAGGCTTCTGCCCAGTGACACCAGACAAACCGCGGCGGGACGCGCGGGCCAACCCAGACGCAAGGCGGGACTTTCGAATCCCCGTTAGTCCATCCTAAGGGAAATCCAGCTCGGAGACTGCTTCCCGCAGGTCAAGTGCGGAGGCCAGAGATGGCGCACATCCGGAGTCCACCAACCGCGGAAAAAGTCTCTGGCCCGACAGCTGGGAAGGACGCCAACAGGCGAAGGGGAGAGAAAGTCAAGAGACCGGCCCGCCAAGTACGGGAACGCCCCGGCAGCGCTTAATAAACAAGTGTCAGCTCTTCCTCCAGAGACCAGTGGTGGCTCTGAAAAGAGCCTTTGGGGTTGGAGAAGCAGTCGCAGTCTACTTCTTCTTAGGCGCCGCCTTCTTGGGCTTGGCAACCTTGGGTTTGGCGGCCTTGGGCTTCACAGCCTTTGACGCACTCTTGACCTTCTTAGGCTTGGCAACCTTGGCTTTCTTCGGGCTCTTGGCCACTTTCTTGGTGCCAGCAGCTGCGGCGGGTTTCTTCGCCTTCTTTGGGGTCTTCTTGGCGCTCTTCTTGGGAGTGGCCGCCCCCGCAGCTTTCTTGGGCTTCTTGGCGGCCCCAGCAGGCTTCTTAGTTTTGGCCGCGCCCGCTTTCTTGGTCTTGGGCTTGGCCTCCCCGGAAGCCGCCTTCTTATTAAGCTTGAAGGAGCCAGAGGCGCCGGTGCCCTTGGTCTGCACCAGGGTGCCTTTGCTCACCAGGCTCTTCAGCCCCAGCTTGATGCGGCTGTTATTTTTCTCCACATCGTAGCCAGCGGCCGCCAGCGCCTTCTTGAGCGCAGCCAGTGATACCCCGCTGCGCTCCTTGGAGGCAGCCACAGCTTTGGTTATGAGCTCGGACACCGGGGGGCCAGTCGCCTTGCGGCGCGCCCCCGCAGGCTTCTTGGCAGCCTTCTTCTTGACTGGAGTCTTCTCCGCCGGGGGGGCGGCGGCGGGAGAGGCAGCAGGAGCAGTCTCGGACATTCTGAGGTTCGAGGATGCGGTGCTGGGGAGGCGCTGCCGATGCTGTATATATAGAGCGCAGGCGCGCGCTGATTGGTGCGCCAGTCGCCGGCCCGGCTGGCAGCCTCCAAGTCGCCGCGCTCCGCAGAAGTTGTGTTTGTTCCACCTCACAAAAGAGAGAAAATATTAAAATGCACCGCACAAAATCACCCGAGTTTGATCAGGAAAGGATCCCAGAAGCCTCAAGCTTCGTGCTATCCATTTCTTTTTCCCACAATCTCACAGACAACTCGGCTAGATGTCCCCAAATCCCCCAACTCCAAAGGAAGTCCAGGGCCGTGAGAGACCACTTTCTGTTTTTCTTCTAAATTACCTGGTCGCTCCTTTGCCTCTCAAAGTTCTTTTTCCCAGGGATGGTTAAGCACATTCAACCCTTACTTTAGGGACAAAAACGAAATTATTTTCTTCCGAATTTTCGCGATAATTCTATTTCTTTGCAAGGGAAGTAACACAGGTCCTGGGTGACTTCTTCACACAGAGTCACAGTAACTGTGGAGTGGGACAAGGAGTTCCAGGGCCAGTCTAAAGCACTTAGGGTGTGAGGAAAGGGGGTCTTAAGCCATGGGTAGGGGTCTTAAGTAGGGAGGGATTAGGGACTTTAAACTTTGATTTAAAAGCATTGAAACTGTCAAATCCCTCTTTTCACTAGAGGGGGCGGGGCACCCTTTTTACCTCTCCAAAGGCAGAAATTGGGCTGAGTTTATAAAGCACTCAGGACCCCCTTGGAGTTATGCAGGCAGGGGGTCTCCGCCCCGGAGAATACAGATAATAAAAAGAGAAAAGAGGCCTCTTAAGCCTGCCAAGTAGACTTCAACTGCCCCCAATTGACTTAGCAGCAAGGGGCATTGAGATGACCTGCTTTTAGAGAAAACAAAACCCTTATTTATATGAAATATGTTTTGTATATCACGTACATAAAATACCTGCAAAATAGAGATGAGTTTCAGCCCATGAAAATTCTAGGTTTCTCCATGACCATACCTCACTTATGTCAAGGTGGATAAGAATCCTCTATAACTGGGAACACAAAGATGCAAAGAAAATAATTGACTTTAATAAAACAAGCCTTTTACTTAGATGAGCCATATATTTTTAGTAGGAAAAGTCTTTAAACAGAAAGACAGGAAACGTACTAGGACATATACATTATACTGTCTGTGGTTGAGGCACTCTCCCTCTTATGCCATCTAAACCTAGCTGTCTCTAGTATATTCCGAAGTTTGGTTTGTTAGCTTGAGCTTTGCTACTCACATTTTATCTATCAACTCTCAGAAATTGCATTTTTCCTTGCAGCAAAAGGCAACATAAACTTTCTGCTTATATATTTTGTATAATTATGCATCTACATATGGGGAAATAGTTAAAACAGCAGAAATTCTTGTTCAAATATATATTTGCATGAAAATAGATATTAAAATGTCATCTTTAGATTATGGTAAAGTCAAAAAGTGTTCTACAAATCGAGTTCAGTAATCTGAAAAATACAGCATATTCTTTAGACTCGGAACGACCCCATGCTTTCACTGAATAACATTTAACATTTGGGAACAGTGTCTACTACGGTTTATGTCCTCTGAGAATTAACAGCCTGATGAGATTAAGGATGAGTGAATTAACTGCAGAAAACCACTTTACACTGGCCGCCTTCTGAGTGAATTCTGGTATGAGAACTATAAGAAAGTACTGAAAGTAGGTAAACAACTGAAGTACCTTCATCATGCTATTTTAAAGAAAAAAAGTAAAACGTGTAGCTTAGTCCTGATTGTGTGAAGTGAGCCTTCTCCTCTGAAACCCAACCGCCTGTTCATAACCACCAGGACAGCACTTGTGGGGTCGTGGTATTAAGATCAATGATCTTTTCTTGACTATAAGTCGTCATCCTGGTGTGGAAATCACTGATGTGTAAATTTGAATCCTGTGATTCAGTGTTCTAATGCAAGCTTTCATGTTGAACCAATCAAATTATATCTATTTATATGCAAATCTCAAACCCCGACCCCCAAGTCATCATAGCCCTCCAACCAGGATTTTGCCCCAACCTCCTAGTAGTGTTGAAACTGAGAGGTAGAGATATTAAAAAAAAAATTATTATTTTTTGTAACCTGTGTTTAAAAAATTATGTAAAACCTAAAACAAGGCAAAAATTTTTCTTCATGACTTTCCAAATTTTATTAGAGAAAATGTCTAAAAAGCATACACTTGGATCATTTTATGCTAAAAAAGAGGGCTAGAAAACAAAACAATTTACATACGTAATTTCTAATTTTTTAGTATTCACATTGAAAAATAAAAACAAGTGATATTAATTTAAATATATTTTAACTCAATATTTCAAAATAGTATCAGTTCAAAAAATGAGATAGTTTACACTCTTTTTTTAAGCAGTAAAGCTTCAAAATCTGGTATACATTATACACTTCTACATTGTTTTAATTGCAATCTTCAACTTCGTAGTTTCCAGTGACCACTTGTGAGTAGTAGCTATCAAACTAGAAAAATAACACAGTTTACAGCGATGGTTAATTTGACTTCATGTTTCATAGTATAGTTTGGGTTTTTGTGAGGGGGTTCTTTTGGGAGGACTGCTTTCTTTAGTTTTATTTTTTGTAGTACTGAACTCAAACCCCAGGCTGCTCTACCACTGGGTTACAACTCCAGCCTTTGGGTGGGTAGGTGGCTGGGGAGGACAGAATCTTGCTAAATTGCCCAAATTTGAACTCCTAATCTAAGACAGGAGATTAGAGTATGGCAACACTGGCTGGGATTTGGGTTAGGATTAGGGTGAAGGTTAGAGCTACTGGCCTAAGGGATTAAAACCTTTTACTTGACCCATCAAGGGATGAAATTAATAATAACAGCTATCCCACTAGCAGAGCTGGGGTCTACTGAGAAAGTCAGTGTAGGTACCCCAAGAAAAAATATGCAGGAAAGGACTGTAGGAATTTTGTACCAGACATAAAACAATAAACTCTAAGTGCTACTTTCTTGCTTGAGCTCATAAACCATTTTTATAAATAACTCAGCAATTTGCTGTCTTTGCGTCAGTCTTTAAGGGCAAATAGCCAACAATTAGGAAATTAAACCTGAGTTGAAATAGTTTCTCCATCAGCCTGTGGGCACCTGATTGGGTAACCTAATGTTGCTTCAAATTTATTCCTTGAGGGACCTTCAAATGGATTGAGGAACTAATAGAGACCATAATAAAGCACATTGTCAGAGGTTATTGAATACATAAAAAATATTTCAAGAGTAATATCACATTGCAAAATATCCTTATCTAACTTTTTGGAAACACTATTAGAGCTATTGACAGAAAGTGTAAGTCATTACTAGCTACATTACTCTTTAAACATTTTTTTCAAATGACTTGAAATTTTCAAAAATCAAAAGTACCTTAAAATAGAGATTAATCATGGAGAATATATATTCTTATATCTTGCCAGGTGAAGACTATGCTGAAACAATGAAAAAGCATAAGATGCAAGCATATATTAGAGAATAACTTTCACCAGAATATATTGTCTCACACACTATTTCTTAAAAAAATGTGGCTATAAAATTTTGCCAGATTTATATGCCACAGTGTTTTTATTTTTGTAGTGCTGGGGATTGAACCTGGGGCCTTGTGCATGCAAGGCAAGAGCTCTACCACTGAGGCACATGCCCAGCCCATAATTTTTCTGCATTTATTAAAATATTATTTTTCATTCCTGACCAGTATGGTGTACATTACCATTTCACACACTTGAGAACTTGGCTCAGCACAGCACACTAAGAGTGAAAAAAAAAAGGTCTTTTAAGCAAAAGATCTCCCCAGGACTCGTACTATAAGACCAACACAGACAGGCACAACCGTCATAGAGTATATAAAATCTGACAGAAAAAAATGAAGCCAAGCAGTGAACAGAATAAGAAAACAAAAATGTTAATGGGCTGGTTAAGACTTTATCCCAAATATTTACCATACCAATTCAGTTGGCAAGCTATGACATAAAATTGCAATTTAGAATAGTGATTATCAAACTTAAATTTCAAGTCCTCTTTATACACCTAAAAGTTTCTAGTCCAACTGCAAGCAGTATCCAAGATAATTTCCATTAGTTATGAGCACTTCATAAGTGGAGACTGAGCATTTAGACTTCTCCAAGAAGTCCAGCAGACTATTATATATATATATATAAAATTATGTGTGTATCATATATACTTATATTGTATATATAAGATTAAAACTGATCACCTTAAATATGCACATATATATTAAAGTACCAACTGGACTAAAGTGGAGCAGGATAAAACTTTTGTCTTTACATATTTGAAATAGCTAAAGGTAAAATACACGCCCACTAATTACTTAGTAATTTGTATACAAAGTTTTAGATGGCAGTATTTTTACATCTGCAAATACACCCTCTGTAGAATTCACATCCTCACTTCAGCCACAATTTATCATATATTCTGCTGTTTTCCCTTATGAACAGAAGATGGCGCTCCAAAACAGGAATGCTTCTTTCAGAAATTGCAGTATTTCAAAATCCTGAACCTAAGTAACTAACTCAAATTTACACTAGTTTTTGGACATTTTCAGCATGGGGAAATTATTATTCGACAGATAATAATTCTGAGGCACTGGGGATCCTTGAGACTAGGAATTCTATGGGCAAGAAAGACTACTGGGAGTATAAACACTGGCTGGTTCCCTCATTCTGCAGATTCCTCAGCCTCTTCAAGCCCAAAAATGTGTTGGGCTTGCAGCCCAGGATGAAAGAAAACAGACTCCTGTGTGGTGCTGCTGGAGAGTAGGGACCCAGAGAAAGTTAGGTAGCAGGGAGGCCAGGATGGATATAAAATGGGGAACATAACAGGCATGGAAGTTAAGTATTAAATTCTGAATATTACTGGTTAAAAAGTAAATCTTTAAAATATTAAATTAGTTCTTTATATTTTAAAGTAAAATGACCGCAGTGAAAAGGATGACAGGAGAAAAGCCCTGCTGTG